ATCATATACAAATAAAGAATATTTTTATTAAATCGGAATGCCGGAACCTGCAAATAATATTAAAAATAATAAAAAAAAATATATTTTTATTATTTCATTTCATTACAGTAAATCGGAATGCTGGAATAAAAAAAATTTTTTTTCTTCAATACTGGCATACTGATATTTATTAAATCGGAAAAAATTGAGATTCTTTTATCAATTCCCAATTTGAACCATAGAGCAATAAAAGAGAAATATTTTGTTTTGAGGAAAAAAAAAGGTTAAAAGGTTGTAATCTTAAATTAATCTTAAAGCTAAAATTATACTAATTATACTTTTAATACAATACGCGTTGCGTCTTATTATAATTGATCAACAAATAGTAAATATTATAATAGTTTAATTTTGATTGATACCCAATTGAAAAATGAGCAAATTTCTAACTATTGAATAAATCAGGTGACAGATTATGATTTAAACTATTATATAGTTTAAATCATCCAACAATAATATTAGGGACCGTTCATGCAATTTTTAATGAGGATAACTGAATATTTATTATTTATCATAAATTACATATATCAATAATATGAAAAGATTCAACCATAAATCATTAACCAGTATGCCACAAATCAGAAGTGCCAATTTGTAATTTTAACTAATATTGGGGCAAAATTTAGGCTGATTTGCCATTTGTCTGATTTTTTTTTTGATTTTTAATTAGCATCAATTAGCCATCAATCAAATATGATGATTTTTTGCCGAATTTTTATCAAATTTTTATTGAATTTTTATTGAATTGTCAATTTTCCATAAATCTGAAGTATCATATTTGAATATTGGGTAAATTTTAGGTTGATTTACCATTTTGTCTGATTTTTTTTTTGATTTCAACCAGCATCAATCAGCCGTTAATCAAATATAATGATTTTTTTGCCGGATTTTTGTTGAATTTTTATTGAATTTTTATTGAATTATCAATTTTTCATAAATCTGAAGTATCATATTTGAATATTGGGTAAATTTTAGGTTGATTTGCCATTTTGTCCGATTTTTTTTTTGATTTCAACCAGCATCAATCAGCCGTCAATTAAATATAATGATTTTTTGCCAAATTTTTGTTGAATTTTTATTGAATTTTTATTGAATTGTCAATTTTTCATAAATCGGAAGTGCATATTTGAATATTGGGCAAATTTTAGGTTGATTTGCCATTTGTCCATTTTTTTTTTTGATTTTAACTAGCATCAATCAGCCGTCAATCAAATATGATAATTTTTTGCTGAATTTTTATCAAATTGTCTGATTGGCATCAATCAGATGTGCCGATTTATAATGTTAGCCAATTTTGGTCTGATTTTTAGCCGATTTTCCATATGTCCGATTTTTTTGATTTCGACCAGTGATATCTTCTGAGACATTTCGTCAGCTCTGAAGCGTCTTGAGGGTCCTACAATAAAAAAAAAAGTAATGGAATGTTAGTAATGTCAACTAATGTTCCTAATTTTAAAAAATACTCTCCCTCCTTTATTTACCTTTTGAAACATTTTGTCAGTTTCGAAGCATCTTGAGGGTCCTATAATAAAAAAAAAAGAAAAGTAAATGACACTAACATCCATAATTTTAAAAAAATCTCCCCTTCTTTAATTACCTTCTGAGACGTTCTATTAGTTCTGTGTCTAGAAGGATAATAAAAAATTTTTTTTTTTATTTTTTTATAAAAAAAAGATCATAATCTGATAATTTGTTATTCATCAGATTTATCAGATCATGTGATCTATCTGATATGATAACATCAAGTGAAATAGTATCAGAATGGTGAAATCAATCTTATAAAAAATTTTACCGTTATTTCTGTAAAAATGAATCTTTTACAGATCTATTCATGAAAAATATAAATAATTCGGTAAATTCTATGATATAAGGTAAAATCAAAAAATCAGAATAAACGTTCTGATAAATTTTTGCATACACAAATATGCAATTAAAGTTTTAAAGTCAAAACTTTGGAATTCCAGTATTCAAGTCAGAACTGATTTCCCTAAAAAAAAAAGAAAAAAACATTATTTAAAGCGTTAAAATAACATTTTTTTTTAAGTTTCAAGTTTTGAAATTTTGTAATGAAACTTTGAAACATTAGGATTTTGGTATTTAAATCAGAACCGTTTCTCTACAAAAAGAGAAAAAAAAACGTTAAAAAAATGTTTTTTTTTTTTAAATTTTGAAGTAACGAAGTAACAAAACGTTACTTCAAAATATTGGGATTTCGGTATTCAAGTCGGAACCAATTTTCCTAAAAAAAAAGAAAAAAAAACATTAAAAAAATTTTTTTTTTAAAAAAAAATTTTTGAAATGTTACTTCAAAATATTGGGATTTCGGTATCCAAATCAGGAATCGTTTCCTTACAAAAAAAGAAAAAAATGTTAAAATAACATTTTTTTTTAATAGTTTCAAAAAAATTATTCGAAACTAACCTATGGGACTCGGTATCCAAGTCTAAACTGACTGATTCCCTACAAAAGAAATAAAAAAAATGTTAAAATAATGTTTTTTTTTAAAAAACATTTTGAAGTTTCAAAGAAAGAAACTTTGAAATTTTGGGATTCCGGTTTTTAACTTTGGAACTGATTTTCCTATAATAAAATAAAAAAGAAAAGTTTCGAATTAAAATTTTCTTTTTGGGATCAGTTTTCAAATTCAAAACCGTTTCCCTACAATAAAATAAAAAAAAAACATTTATTAACATTTTTTTAATAGTTTCAAAAAAAAAATTTTGAAACTAACCTATGCGATAGGACCGTGGATAATTATAATTGAGGTCATATCTTACTATGTTTTAACTTTATTTTTCTTTTAACATGTAATTTTATTAAGTTAATATTATTTTTTATCATAGAAAAAAATGTTTCTTTTGAAGAGAAGAATCTTTTAATACCAAAAATCTTGTAAATCTACTGATTAGAATTTGAGATAAGTATCATTACACAGGCAAAATTTGGCAAAAAAATATATGTTTTTTCACTATCGGTATACATAGAAATATACAAAAAAATAAAAATTACTATTATTAAATATTACTTTTTAAGTAACAAAATTATAGATAATAGGAGGGCAATTATTATTATAAAGTTTTGTATCTATAGCTTTAAAAGTAAGTTCAGGATGACAAGGGTAAATTTTTAGCATAGAAGATATGACCTTAATTATAATTGTCCAGGGTCCTTATGGGATTCAGTATCCAACTTGGAGCTGATTCCCTATAATAAAATATTAGAAAAAAAATGTTAAAAACATTTTTTTAATAGTTTTGAAAATTTTTTTTTTGAAACTAACCTATGGGATTTGTTATAACCGATTATCTATAATTGAATAATAAAAAAAAGGAGTTTCAAAAATTTTTTTTAAAACTCACCTATGGGATTCATTGTAACCAATTCACTATAATTTTAATAGTTTCAAAAAAATTTCTTCGAAACTAACCTATGGGATTTGTTATCAAACTTCAGAACTAATTCTCTACAATAAAATGTTAAAAAAAAACTTTTGTAGGATTCCGGTATCCAAATCGGAACCAATTTTCTAAAAAAAAAATTTTTTTTAAAGTTTCAAAAGTAAATGTTTGAAAAAAAATGTTAAAGATAGTATGAAATAGTTTAATTAAGTTTCAAAAGTAAATGTTCAAAAAAAATGTTAGTGTAAATTTCAATAATATAAAATAGTTTAATTTTAGTTAAAGAAAAATAGTTTATCAATAGTCTAATTGAAACAATAGAAATCAATTGGTAAATTTAAACTGAACATAGTTATCAATCAGGTATTAACCTGATTGATACCCGATTGAAGTGTACACCAATTTCTAACTATTGAATAAATCAGGTGACCGATCAAAAAAAAAGTTACCAATCAGGTAGGTACCCGATTGGTCAGCATTTTACCTGTGTTTTTAACTACTATATTAATTGTTTTTTATTTTTTGTTTATCTTCTTTATACAAAGATTAAAGTGTAATTTTGGTACTTTGGTCATTCTTTGAAGGCTAAATAAAGTCTTAACAAGTAAAGCATTACTCAAATAATTATTTTTATTGAATTATTTTACATATTTGTGGAGTTATAATTATACTTTGTAACAATATTAAGTGCATTATACATTTTTTAAATCTCTTTAGGCAACATGCATTTATATATTTATTTAGGTTATTTATCATACTTATTTTATTATATTTAAGAGAGTTAGGAGAGACGCGTTTTTATATTTATTTAGGTGTTATTTATTATGTTTATTTTATTAGTAGATACACGTTTTTATATTATTTAGGTGTTATTTATTGTATTTGCTTTATTATATCTATCGGGAGACATAGGAGACGCACGTTTTTATATTTATTTAGGTGTTATTTATTATATTTATTTTATGGGTTACGCGTTTTATTTTATTAATAAATAAGCAGACATAAATTTCCAAGTAAAAATCAAACGAACTTATCATTTTTTATCAATAAAGCATATTTTATTGTTTTTATTGTTTTATTAACTTTTAGTAAATAATTTTTTTATTAAATTTAAAACCATAAATTTTAAGTATGAAAATTTTAATTTTTTTAATATTTTAAAAGTGCGAGAAGTGAAAAATTTTGCAATTAAAATTTTTCTAAGACGCAAAAAAGCAAATGAGGCTGATGCGCCACAAAAAATCACGTGGGGAGTCGGTGATACTGGGGTAAATTTTTTTTGATGGTGTTACTGGGGAAGATATATATGTCACGTGTGATTACGCAATGTTGAGATCACCCACTTTCCTGTGCGACATAAAATCATATATTAATGCCACTTTCTGCACTCGGTATAAAATTCTTTTTATTCCACATCGACCTCACTTCCGAACGTAACACATTTTTTATCTGAGCATAATATCACTATATGTCTGAAACTAATACACCCTCTTCTACTTCTACCTCTGTTACTTCTGGATATGACTCGTATACACTAGCGTATGAAATTAGGAAATACAGTGCGGAAGAACTTATTCCGTTCTTGAAGGAACAGAGCAAAGTGATTCTTGACAAGAATGACCTAGACATTCTTTACAAGGAGAAAATAACTGGCCGTTCCCTCCTTAAGATGAGCAAGGACGATTTTCTAAGTATAGGTTTAGCGTTTGGACCTGCGAGAGATCTTGCGGAATTTGCCAAGGACTGCAGGGAGAAAAAGTTGAAGTCCTTCTCCACGTACAGGACTAAGAAGGATTTGAAAGAGATATTCGAAAAGTATAATATTGAAGATGGGCGAATAACAGACATACTGCAATTTGTACCAAGTAAGTTTTTTCTGAAAAGCAACTTCCTTCAGAACTGTACAACTAACATATGGTATTTCATTGATTTATAAAGAATCCCAGTTCATCGGTGATGATAACGAAGATTTGTTACACTGTCTCAAGGATATACGACTCAGGCTACGCAATATGGGAACCGTCGTTGAAAGCAACGAAGCAATCCGTTGTGAATATATTTCGGCAATCCTCCATGCATGTATTAATATAGTCAGAAAACATACTGGAAAAGAAATATCATTAAACCCACAGCTCGAAGTTGTCGGTGAGGAAAATACGGGTCGTGTGGACTTCGCAATCAGAGCACTTGAGGAATTAATTTGCATCACGGAGGGTAAACAACATCAAATCACAATTGGGTTCGCTCAGGTTAGTAATCCTATTTTATTCCAGAGTTTCTTAAGGCCTGTTCCACCAACTGATTTGATACCTCTGGTCAGAATGTTTTACAATGTGAAAGTGCTTTCCAAACTAATAAGAGAAAACGAAAGGCGGATGTTGCTTTCGATGAAGATTATGACTATCTCTTCGGGATCGTAACTACAGCTACGGAATGGCATTTTCTCCTTTATACCCCGGAAGGGATTAGGTGCACGAGTAGAAATCCGCTCAATATTCGTTTTGTCGAGACTGCTTTGATAGAAGATTCGGAGGATGAAAAGGAGTTGTGTAAAAATGTGAAGCGGGTGATGGAGGTCATTGTTGGATTATTGATGGAAAGGGTAACTGTTGAGAAGGAGCCGGCAAAGAAAAAGCAACGGGTTCAAGAGTACAGTCAGCCCCCTTTATAGTCACACCCCTTGGGACCGAAAAAAAAGGGTGTGATTATAAAAAAAGTCATATGTTGTGATTATAGAGGAGGTTTTTCTAATATATTTATTAGTACATTGGGCCAAAATATGGTGTGCTTATAAAGGGGAATTTTATATGTTGTGATTATACGGGGGGTGACTATATAGGGGGTCGACTGTATTTCTAAAAATAGAAGTAATTATATACATTAGCATAGACGTCATGTAGTCCCAAACCTCTGTATTATTTTTCTCTGTATTAATAAAGCGAGACTTGGTTCCTTCAGGACCTTCCGCATTTGCTACATAACATTGAACAATTCTCCGTTAAGTGAAAATTTTCCATAATGACAGTTAGTGATACTGCAGCTAACCCATCCGAGCTTGCCCCGAAAGGGCGCTCTGAAGAAGCTGAGACAACGCAATGCTGAGTTTGAGGCCGAGCTTGAGGCAGAGCGTGAAGAAAAGAGAATAAGCGCTTTTTCACTCATGGAAGAAATTGACAAGCTTAAGAAGAAGAATGCTGACCTCTTTGCTGAGAATTTCGATCTTAAACGTGAGGTAGCGAAACTCAGGGAGGAACTTGGGAACAGAATTGAGGAATTGGAAAAGAATAGAGCGGATAATGATGCTGAGAACATTAAGCGTGATGCTGAGAATGCTGAGCTTAAGGTAAGAGTTGCGAAATCTGAGCAGATTTCTCCCGCTAAGGAAGTGGAAATAGATGAATCAGCGTCCCTTCAGGGGCAGGTTGATGATGCATCCTCTGACTCCAAAGGAGAACCGCCGCTTAGGGGATTTAAGATGGAAGCTAGCGAGGGTGCTGATTCTGATAAAATCGAAAGTATACAAGGTAGTACAAACCCCATTTCCTTGGGAAACAATGTTTCACGTCAGCACAAAATTGTTTCAAGTCTGGAGCAAGTTAAGCCTGTTTACTCTGCTACCGACGATTCTGATGAGATAGAGCTTATTAAAAATCAGAATGTAGAACTTGATCTAATATGTGATTTACAGAGTTGTATTATTGTTCCACCCAATGAACAACATTCGTCTTCTAACGAAGTGCGTGATCAAACCACAACACAAAATTAATCCATTTGTTTCGAAAAGCACTACAGGCTGGATATGAAGAGATTTTATCTCGGGTTCATTATTCAGATAATTTCAAAAATAAAGTTGCTGATGATAAAACCACAAGAACACTAATATATAAGGAAATGTTAGAACATCTAGCTGGTGTTACGCCAGTTTCCAAGACACTTAGAGCCAAAAAAATTTGCAAATTGTTTGGAGAAAACGGAGTAGGAATTGATAAGATTAAATATGTCATTTGCAGTGCAAATGAGATTTCCAAATTAACTAACGCACAAATTCAAAATGTTATAGACATTTCACCTCGAAACCCATTTCCACGAAAACCTCATGTGACTTCGAAAATCGCCGATGCTGAGGCTGTTGAATATGACGAGCCAGGTGATGATGATTATAACGTGACGCTTTTGCAAAGAGTATCGACTGGAGAGATTAGAAGCAGATGACCCCTTTTCTGAAGAACCTATTGACTCGAATCACCTGATCAATGCTTCGTCGGAATTTCGGTATAAGTATAGCTCGGTCAAACACCTGTAGTTGTTGTAGTAAAGTTGGCGTAGCTGCATTTTTTATGCTGTAACGAATCCAGTGATGTCTCGTCATGTTTTGAAACACGTGATATAAAACCTGTACCTCATTAATGTCATATGTAAAAGGTCACTTCGTGACTGAAATACGCCGCAGTAACTTCTCCAGGATTACCCCAGCATTAAGAAATTAAGAAATTAACTATGTGACGGATAATAGGGTGACGAATAAGTTTTTACCTACTCGAAAAAAACTAAGTCCTCAGATACTGTACTAGAAAATGGAAACAGTAACGCATGTGACAAAAAACAGTCACGTGAATTTCATGGGACAGGTAGAATCACATGACTTTCAAAATTTTTCTTTTTTTTTGTTCAGGCTGAAACTTATACCTTTGGATTTAGTGTTGAACCTTAGGAAGTTAATAATAACTGCAGTTTCCATAGCCACACTTAGCCAGTCAAATCACATGAATCACGTGTCTGAGCTTTTTTTGATGGTTAGTTCAAGTATTAATATCTAAAATAAATCGATTGCTGAAACAATAACTGATACATCAAAAATTGCGAAGATCAATACTATACCACAGGTGATACAAAATAATCTGAATGGTTTGAGGCTTCCTACCTTTAGCCCGCTTTTTTACAGGTTTTCACCAGAAGCAATATTATGCTAACCATCAGATTTATGTTCTTCCAAAAGCTCGTTATCCCTAAATTCCCTATCGCATACAGAACACTACTTTTCTGCCTGAATTACTATATTCAATGCCATTAGTAGAACTGGCAAAAATTTATTCTGAATTTCTGAGATGTCGAAGGACTATACGCCTATCTTGAACAATAATATGAATGAATTTGCTGTCATCCACATATTTAAAGTCCTTTAGAAAGTGAAGCCCTCATATGCTTTTTTTTGTTTGAACACATTTACAACGAATTTGTCTTCATCTTTGAGTTGTTTAGTCTCTTATCATCTTGTTTGATTTGTACGAACCATACTTTAATACCGATGGTATCGATCCACTAAATTGTCTCCAGTAATTTTTCTTTGATTGCATCCTTAAGCTCGATGACAAATAATCTGTTAATCACTGCAGTTAATGACCTTCGGCCTACAGTAAATTATTGTAATACGATAATGAGTATGATATGATCCCTATTGTATGTATGGTATAGTTTTTATTGTCTATACTGTATAGTTATTGATTTTATACAGTATTACTTTAAGGTTAGGATTTATAGGGTTAGGATTAGGGTAAGGTTTAAGGGTAAGGATTAAGGTTAGGATTAGGAGAATTAGAGTTATGGTTAGGGTTAGGGTTAGAGATTTTGCTATTTAAAATATAAAGATTAGAGTAACTATACAGTATGGATAGTATGGATAAAAAAACTATGCTATATAAAATGAAAAACTATACTATATATACAACGAAGGTTATATACTCATTATCTATATACTCGTAAATTATACCCTTTTAGCATGGTGTTATATATATATGCAAGCTGTAGATTTTGGCAATTGCAAAGTTTTCACCCGCCTACAACATATAATTTTTATTACTAATACTGCTAAGAACCAACAAGCCATTCTCTTTTATAGCTTATTCAAATTGCCTTCTTCAGTTATTTCCGCTGAAAAATATTTTTATCCTGCGATCTTTCTAAAAAAAACTGTAACTGTAAATACAGAATTAATACCCATCGCACGAATATCTAATTGATGATCAATACCTTCTGGAACTGGATCAGGAATGTATGCAAACTATCCTTACGATTGCAGTCATAACTGCGGTTAGTTACATGCTTAAATTTAGAATACGTGCAAAAAATGGTGCTTTATTTATTCAATACAAAAAAAAGCGAATAACGTTCTAAGATCATATCACCCAGAATTATCCTAGTCTATACTGCGCATTTCAGCTCTTTCAGACTCCATAGGAGCAGTTGTTATGCTTGTACTGAGATTCTTTCTGTTCGAGCATATACCAGAGTAATGATCGGACTTGTCATTAGTGAAACTTTTCTTTCATATCTTCCATCATGACAATAATACCCTTATCTTCGTAATAGCAACTATCATCATACATGTCGTCAACTCCACAGTAACTCCATTAGTCCTGCCATACTCTATTCTCTTTAACTTGGAAGAATTACCGTAACTATTAAAACATTACGTATTGTAACTTTATTTAAAAAACGTTAATAAATAATGATTTGATACAAATAAATATTTAAAATAATATTATATCATATATTACTGGAAAGTTTAAATTTTTAATTAACTATGTAAATTATTAAAATTGCTAAACGAATAGTTTAATCCTAGAGAATCAATTTGCTGTTGTTGTTGCAAATTATCTAAATTATCTGCAATAAATACGGACTGATTGTTAATTCCATCAGAAGTTTCATTTACACTAGAAAACATGACTTTGTTCTTGGTTTAATTGTGATGGACTAACTGAGGAAGAAAAAAAAGTGGGGTCTTGTTGATCTTGTTGGAATTGTTGGAATTGATATTGAATATCTAGATTGCTTAAATTTACTAATGGAGAAGACACCCTATAAAAAGTATTATACTTAAAATATACTTAAAATATATTTAAAATATACTTAATTTAAAAATTGCAAAATACTTATAATATATTTTTAATATATCTAAAATATACTTAAAATTATCTTAAAATATATGTCTAATATATTTTAAGATAATTTTAAATACATTTTAAGTATATTATAAGTATTTCGCAATTTTTAAATTAAATATATTTTAAGTATATTTTAAATATATTTTAAAAAGTTTTTAATTATATTTTAAATATAAATACTTTTTATAGGGACATAGGGATTACAACGATATGAAAACCAGGAATTACAAATCTAAAAATATCTGAAACTGAATTAACAGAAGGATTCTGTTGTTCGATGATAGCATTATTATCATTTGACGTATAACTGACGTGGCTATTAAATGGACTAGTTGCGGAAAAACCATATTAGTGTAGTTGCAAGCATCATCGCAATGAACATTCAAAGAAGATTATCCATTAAAATATATATCAAATGAGTTATTATTGAGTACATCATCATGATTTTGTTCCATTGTCAAATTTTTTTGGACGAACGAAAAAAAAAAATAATATTTTTTTTTTTCAGTGAAGAGGTAAAAGATCAGGCCAAAAGATGTACTCATCAGTTTTATACCAATTTTATTAGTCAATTAATATACCATGTAATATATGCGGTAAGTTGATTGAAAAAAAAAAGATTTTTAAATGTAAATATTTTTCTTTCTCTCAAGAGCGAAAGAAAAAACATAATTTCCATCATCTTTTATAAGACACCGATTTATTGTGTGAACTGCGGTCCAGTTTAAACCACTAATTTTACTAAAAATGGTTGTAATGGTTGTTAATATTTAATATAAACAAAAAATCAATGAATTTGACGCGATGTTTTCATCTTGCAGAAAACAAATTGTTGAAAATTTATGCAGATCGTGAATTGCTAACGTCAGACTGATATTTTTTTTTTTTTTGCAGATTATAGATTTTCTGTTAGGCCTATCAAAGCCGAATTTGTATTTTATAGTATTGTATTTATAGTATTGTATCATTATGTACTGTATAATGTTGTAGTTTTTGTTGTGCATGCTTAGCGGAGGTCGATAACTCCAAGGCCTGTTGATATTAAATTTGGGTTCTTTCAATTCTAAGATCATTTCTAAAAAATAAATATTCTTTGTGGAGTAAACTAGCCTTTTTTTAATGTATAGATGCAATAGAATATTTTCATCAGAACATTTTTAATAATTTAATTAAATTGATTACATATTCATTTGAAAATATTTTACTTAAATTTGAATTTGAATCTAAGAATTAAAAAATGATTGTACAAGTTCATGTATAATTACAACAACGAAATTGAATCTAGTTCAAATTAACGTAGTTAAAAGAAGTATCAAACATTATTATCTTAAATTCATTAATAGAAAAAAAAAAATATATGGTCATATTACTTAAGAGTCATATTATATTTTCACATTCTTATACCGCTTAGACCTTAGAATGTTCAGGATGATGCACTTTTTCGCATTTTTTTTGGTGTGACCGCATTTTTGATTAAATAATCATCACGAATATTTTCTATTGGTTAAATTTGTTTATAACATGTTGTGATTACTTTTATCATATGTGTTACGAATTTTCATGCAGGTCAAACATTGTTCAGGAAAATTACTTCAGGGAGTTATTTTTTAAAGTTCCTTTTTTTTAATAAAAAAAAAAAAAAAATGTCTTTATTAATACGTAAATAATCTGCGCAAACGATTAAGTTTTACGTAAGTATATAGTAAACAAAAACATATTTTTAAAAATGAAAATTTTCNTTAAAAAAAAAAAAAAAAAAAAATTGATTTTTTAAAGTATTTCTTATACAAAAATCTCAAAAATTTTCTACTTTACATTAAATAATAATAATAAAAAATATAATATTAATATGATGAAAATAATATTTATAAACCTACAGTATTTTTAATTTTTATCATCATTATTATCATTTTATCATTATTATTATTTATTACTATTAAAATCTAATTAATGTTATAATCGATAACCAGGAACTGCTACAAAAATTCCTGTAACGATTATTGAAATTATTAAACTTTGTAAAAATATTTTGATTCCTTTTTTTACATGTAATGAGTATATATAAGGTTCCATTACACATTGAAATTGAAAGAATGTTGTCTCGCTATATAAAAGAAATATATGTTTAATAAAAAAAATTTAAATAATCAAAAAACAAAGATCTTCTTACCTTATTTTTAATAAGACGAATAATGGACTCAATTTAGTTAGATAAGTAATTAGGCTTTTTACACCTAAAAATATTGGGATAAAACTCTGCAAAAAAAAAAAGAAATGTATATATAATTACTGTTTTCTATGATTATAAAATTTTGATATATAATAACTTATTAATCATTTTACATACCCATAAACGAATTGTTTTTGGTTTTATATCCAAGAAAATTAAACTTAATACTATAGAGAAACCAAGGAATAAAAAGAATAAACCTATAAATAATCTCATAATAATTTGTAATTGACTCATATTACCAAAAGCTCTACATTTTAAAAATCTAGGGAAAGGTTCACTTTCCATAAAAGTGAAAATTTCTTTTTTAGCTTCATAATAAATCCATGGATCATCTCTTTTATGTTGAGATATTCCTTCTTCTTCTATAGCATGAGTAATTTTTTCTCGAATATCTCTTGATAATATAATTTCTTTTTCAGATCCTTCAAATATATATTTAAAATAAATTCTTTCCGCAGATTCACGAAGTTCATCCCTTGTAAATGGTCTTTCACGATTATGAAATGATGATGTTATATTTGTTTTATTTGAACGAACTGAATTTCGAAATCCTTCATTTTTTTGGTTTTTATCATTATTATTATTGTTATTATTATTATTATTATTATTATTATTATTAACATCTATTGAAATTTCCGTTAAATTTATGCCTAAATTACTGTTTTGTGAAAATGGTGAATCAGGACGAGAGGAAGGTTCCCTACCTCCTGAAGTGTATGTATTATTTGAACCACGAGAACTACTACTTAAATATCTTCGAACACTACTATCTACACTAATAAATGTATTATATTTTGATTTATCATTCCCATTTTTTGAAGTTCCTGGTCTAAATCTTTCATATTCAGGATATTCAATATTTACATCTAATCCAAGTTTTTTAAGGTCTTTTACATATGCTTTACATAATATTTCATGTTCTAATACATCAAGATAAAAGTCTAAATATTCAGAAGTATTTTCTCTATCCCTCATATAAAGGTAAAAGTTGAATAAACATACGGGAGGTGCAGTCTTACGTGAAAGAACCTCTTGTAAAGTTGGTAATCTATCTAATTTATATGAATGATAACGTGCTTTTGCAAGATGTTGACTTTTTTCTGATGATTTATTTATTGTAATTTCTTGACTGCCCATTATATTATATTAATTAATGTTAAAAGAAAAGGTATATGTTCAATCCAAAGTTATTTTTTATCTTCTCAAATCTATAAAAAAATATATATATATATGTATATGTATATATATATGTTTATAAAAAACAAAAAGGTAAGGAAAGGAAGGGAAAGGAAAAAAATCCTTTTGCAGGAGAAAGATAATTTATTTATATGTGAAGAAAATTGGTATGATACATTGGTACTTATAATAAATATCGACAGGTTACTTTTGCATTTTCATATAAATAAATGTATCTCAAAAAATTTATATTGTGAAACTTTTGTGGAAATTGCAACTTCGATATACATTTATACACATTATGAGTGACCACCATGTGCAGCTTATTTGATGGGAAATTCTAATCTATATATGTTAAACAATTTAACATATCCCTTATCGAGTACTGATAAATAAATAAATTTAATTTAACCGGTTATTCGATCGATAAATTCCCGTTTTAAAATTAGAATTTTGATTACTTAATATATATACTAAAAGAAAATGCATTATGACAGAAACATGTGGCGCAATATCCGAAGGTGCTTTTACTGCGGAAATTTATTTTGAAAGCTGAATATGGAAAATATCAAATATAGTTCAGTTATATTTTATATACCCATATATATATATATATATACTACTTGATCGCATTCTATACAAGAAGGTTTATGATAATATTGTTAAACCTCTTTTTTAAATAAGTTTATATTGTCTACGAAGATTTAAATATTTGGTCATGTGAACAAATGTTTTATATTTGTATATCAAATTTTTGTGTAATTTATTTTCTTTTTGACCGTTTTTAAAAAAAGGAATGTGCATTTTGGGAGATTGTTTGAATGTTCATACGTAAATTATTACATATATACATATATGGAAATTTTGATTCGGTTTTATAAATTATCCGATTCATTTCATCCTATTTTATACTATTTATAAACTTCGCTTGATCCGCGAAATTAAATAAATAAATAAGTGACTCGTGTTATTTTTTATTTGTCACATGAAATTATAATTTATATAACAGAAAGTTTTTTCATTCAATTTAAGAATACTATTAAAATTAATTTGTATATCAATCAAAATTGGTCAAATAAGATCCCTACGCCATTTAGCTTTACATTAACCTGCACAGCTGCACTGCAACCGTCTGCACGTGCTAAAAAATGAAGGGAACTGTTTATCTTATGGATAGTTTAAAAAAATCTTTTACCTATCCTAAATCAGGTAATAGAGAAAAATTGCATTTTCCCGTTTGGATTTTCTAAAGAGAAATATGAAACTACGTTATAAAATTCTCAAATATTTTAATAATTATTATATGCTGTACCTCTATAATATACGTATTCCCAGTATTAGTGACATGTTTGTAAAATTGTAAGTAAAGGAAACAAAATCACATTACGTATTTGTCTTATGAATTTTAACCGTATCTCTGGAAGTTTGTTACATTTTTTTTTTTTTGTTTTCAAGGAATTTTTAAAACGAATGATATCAATCATGTAATGCAAAAATAGGTGATTTGTTTTCATTACTCTATACATACTCTATACATACTCGATTAGAACTGCCTTTTATTCCCTTTTTATCCGTTTATCCGAACGATTTGATATGCACATCTTTGATGACGTCATTGACGATCAAGTGTAACATCTAAATTGTGATCGGAAATTAAAAAAATTTGAGAGACTTTTTTTTCTTTTACAAAATGGCAAAAACCAAGAGAAAGAATAAAAATAAAAAAAATAGAGAAGAGTCTAAACCTTATTCTAATAATCCTCAATCAAATAATAATTCCTCTAAAGTTTCAAGTGATCTTCCTAAACAAATTACTAATTCCAATAACGAAAAAATTAATATTTCAATATCTACTCAAACTGATGATAAAAAAAATATTTCAATTGCTACTCAGACTGATGATATTATTTCAATTACAAAAGATACAATAAATAATAATGATAATAATAATTATTCAAATATAAATACAGATATTTTTCTTGTTCCAAAAGCTCCAAAACTTCCTAAAACCTTTAAAGAAAAAGAGTCTACACGTAGATTAATTGTTGTTTTAGATAAAGCGTGCTTAGAAACTTGTAAAGTAACTAATTCTAATAGATCTTCACATTATCAATTATTGAATTGTGATGATCAAAAATCTATAAAAAAATTAGGATCCGATCCAACAACTTATAGACCAGATATAACACATCAGGTAAGAAAAATTGATTTTTCAGCTATATATCAATTTAATGATTTTAATTATTTATTTTTATTAGTGCTTAATGGCTTTGTTAGATAGTCCTTTAAATAAAGCTGGGTTGATGCAAATTTATATTCATACAACTAAAAATGTCTTAATTGAGGTCAATCCTCATGTTAGAATACCAAGAACGTTCAAACGTTTTTCAGGGTTGATGGGTAATTGTAATTCTCAAATTCTCTCTAATTATTATCTAGAGTCAAAAAACAACTAATTTCTCCTTTGATAATTAGTACAACTCCTACATAAATTAAGTATTCATTCTGTGGATGGAAACGAAAAGTTATTACGAGTGATAAAAAATCCAATAACAAATTATCTTCCCACAAGCTGTGTTAAATTAGGTATGAATAATAAAAAAATTTATCCTTTTATTTTTATTTTCATTTTATTTATTTTTTTATTTTATTATTATTTGATTAGCACTTTCATATGATGCTCAACCTGTTCGTCTTTCTCGATATTTACCAACAATACCTCCTGATCAATCGATTTGTATTGCTATTGGAGCTATGGCTCACGGCACGGATAATTTTGCTGATGATTGGGTAGATGAGAAAATTGGAATTTCTCAATATCCTCTTTCAGCAGCTGTTGCTTGTTCAAAATTTTGTTGTGAATTAGAATCTTTTTGGGGGATTTGGTAAAGATTACTTGTAAATTTTTTATACATGATATGTCAAAAAATAATAAAAAAAAACTTTTTTTCCAATGAAAAGTTGGTTTATAATTATTAATTATAATAAGTTATAACTATTAAATTAAATATTGTTAATAAAAAACTATAGATTTTTTTTCTTTCTTGTAATCTCTAATTAACATTCATTTAGTTAATTTCTTTAAACGTGTTTCTAAATTAAAAATAAACTTTGTAGCTTAGATTTTACAAAAAAAGAAAGGTATCAAAAAATTATCAAACCTACCTAATTCTTTTGAATAATCATCCAATTCTATAGCAACTTTTTCCAAAAAATCCACTTGATCGCAAATTTCATCAATTTGTTGAACATAGGGTTCAAAATCCGTATCTATTTTTTTTTAAAAAAAAAATAAAGTTTAATATATGTCTTTAATTAATAATTTACTATATTTTACTTACAAATCCTTTGTAATTTAGCCATTTCTACTACTAAATTTTGTGCCATTCCAGACATTTCTTTGTATCTATCTCTTGTAACTTTATTCATTGTTTCTAATAACTTATAGTCTTCTGTCGTAGCTATTAAAAATAATTAGTAATTAATAAAAATAAAACAAAAAGAGAAAAAAATATATACATATGCTTATGTTATAATTAATCATACCTAAAAGTTCTCCTTTTAAATATTCACCAACTTTACTAAACATTTCTTCAGTTAATTTACTTACATTTTGTGATTTATTTCCAGTACTATCACTAGTAAAAGATTGTTTATCTATTTCAGATTGAATAGAGGTTTGAGATGATATTGTTGTTCTACGAGCTTTTGTTGATGAAGGTTGTTGAGATTGTTGAGGTTGCTGTTGAGCTTGTTGTTGCTGTTGTTGTTGTGTATTTTGTTGAGAGGTTGTTAAAGGCAGTACACTTGATAATGAAGAAAATGTTGAAGTAAGTGCTGACGTCGTAGAATTAATAGCTGATGTTAGTGTATTTGTGGTACTGGAAGTTAAACTTGTGGAAGAATTGGTTGTTGTTGGTGAAGTTGGTTTATCTTGACCCGACATTTTATAATGTGATTTTAAAAAGTATAATAATAATATGGATTAAAAATGTTTGATGTGCAGTCTATCAGATAATAGATAATCTAATAAATAATAATGATTGTAATACCTTCTAAATTCTTATTTCTTATTGGCTAATCAAACTAATCAAACTGCATTTATTTTTTTCCACACCAAAAAAAAAAAAAAAAAAATCTTATTTCTTATTGGCTAATCAAACTAATCAAACTGCATTAATTTTTTTTTTTAAAAAACTTTTTTGTTAAAAAATTTAATAAATTTTTTTTTTTGTTTAAAAAAGGTATCAGATGTTGAACTTTATTGTGAAGGGCCTGATTTTAGTTTTTATGTAAAACCTTATTATTTAAGGTAAAGAAAAATCTTGTAAACTTTAATTTTATTACGCGTTTTTTTTTTTAAAAAAAAAAATAATAATAAAAAAAAATATATTTTTTTTTGAAAAGTGATTATATTTAAATTGTTAGTTTTAAATTTATTTATTAGGCTTCATTTTCCTGGTAATTTAGTTGATGATGATCGTGTTAATGCATCTTATGATATTTCATCTGGTGAGATGAATATAAAAATACCAAAAGAAACTCCTGGAGAAGAATTTTCAGACTTAGATTTGTTAACGAAACTTTTAGCTCCAAAAAGTGTTAAAAAAGTTCCTGAAAAGCCTTTAATTGAGATCATCGATGATAACAATGATGAGAATAATAATCAGGAAAATGATAATGAATTGGAAGAATTATTTGGAAAAGAGGATGATAGACAAAAATCTTATAAAAATAACAATGATTTTTTGATAAGAGAGTTAAATAATGATGTTAACAATGAGGTTAATGATGTCAATGATGTCAATGATGTTAATGTTAATGATGTTAATGATAATAAACCTTTAATTCAAGAGTTATTTGATGGAAAAATTAATGATGATAAAGAAGCTAAAAGATTATATAAATTATTAGAGGAAGGTAATGTATATTAATTCAAAATTAGAAATGAAACTTTCCTTCTTTTTTTCAGTTCCGAAATAATAATTCTCTTTGATTCGGGGACTATTTCATTGATCAAATAGCTGATGCTTATAATTGGGAATTACCACAACAAATTCCCAATGAAAAAGTAAGTACTTTGTTTAATTCATAATCTCTAAGATTAAGTGTTAATAAATTTCCTCTTTTATTAGGAATTATTACCTATAGCAAAATATGGTTTTAATAAACTTTATTCTGGATATTTCATGCACATACAAGAAACATGTAATGAAATTATAGACATAACAGATCCAGAACGTTCTACACCAGAATCGCGTCGTCAAGATCGAATTAATGCTGAAAATAGCAAATTTGATCCGGACCATTATATGTAAGCGATTTATGTAATTCATGATTAGTCCAATCTATTAAATATAGGGATTATACTAATTTTCACATTTGGAATAGAGCAGATTTTATGTGTGCTGAAGAGATTAAAAATCTTATTAAATCAAAGAATGTTTGGTGGAAGAGATCATCTGATCTCAATTTCACTGAAGAAGAAAACACAATTATGCGAAATTTGACAAATAAGCAATGTAATAAATATTAAATTATACGTATACATATATATATTTTTTTATAATATTTATATATATTCTTTTTTTATAATATTTATATATATTCTAATATTTTATTTTCTTTTATATTCAAGATTTAATCGAAAATGTAGGATCAATTTATTATGGATTGATAGATTTATTATTTGCTTATAGTTATAATTATAGAGTATTTGAAGGAGAAAATACTGTTGAATCACCATGGATGATAGGCAAAATAAGTCCAACAATATCTTGTCTTGAAGTAAGTCTGGATAAAATTATTCATTAATATTTATAATATTTTTATTAAAAAACTTCAATTTATTATGTATAGCAATTCAACAGTATAGAAGAGACGATGAAAGCATTATATCGTCGTTCATTAGCCTACCCTTGGTATAGAAATTATAAGCTTGCAAAAAAGTGCCAAGAGGATGTTTATGATCTGTTAAAACTAGGAAAACGTGCAATATTAAAAGTTTTACTAGAATTAAAAGATTTATTTGATCATCATGACATTTATTATGTGTATTCAAAAATTTGGTTAGATGATTATTGTATATGGTGTCAAACTAAAGCCAGGTGAGTGATATAAGATACTGTTTATTAATGAGGATATGCATTTTTATTAATTATTTTAATTATTTACAATAAACGTTCAGTGACAAGATTATTCGTTCTTTGGCACACAAATTACATCATCATAAAGTATTGAAATCGGATACTGGATGGCATTTAGAGGAATATGAGCATTTAGCATTAGAGGATGCACAAGAAAAACAAGCAATGGATTTAAATTCATAATAATAAGTTATTTAATATTTACTGACAAGTTATAATATACATATATACAAATAATAAAAAATAATAAATAATGATGAATGATGAAATAACTAGTACAGTATGTAGTGGGATGAGATAAAAAATACTAGAGAAACAATAAAGACATAGAAAAAAGTCATAACTTAATAAACTTATTGGTCCAAATCGATTAAAGTTCCAGTGCCATCACGTTTGTATTGAGAAGGAATTTTTTCATTTATAATACTAGTACAATATTTACATTTAACAGCATCTTTTGGAACTAATTCCTGACACCATGGACATGGATCAGTTTCATCTTTTTTCTTACTGGACTCAAAATTCTCATGAATTATGTTGAAAGCTAATTTATTTTTTTTTTTAAAAAAAAAAAAGATACAGTATATAATTTAGAATCAGCATTAAGAAAAGAAAAGAAAAGAAAAAAAGAATTAAAAGAATTGACTTACAATAAAATATCCAAAATAGTGCGAAACAAACCATAAAGAAATTTATTACAGTGTTTAAAAATGAACCAACATTTTCAGTACTTTATAAAGAAGAAAATGAGATCATGTAAATATTTGAAAAATATTTAAAACAAAAATTTTTTTTTTTTTACTTACACGGCACCGTCAGCTTGAGCTTCTTCAGGAGTAGCATAAACAGCACTTTCGTTTCTACCTGGTCTAATTACAATAAAATAATTTTCAAGATTTGTTCCATGAAGAACTAGACCAAGTGGTGGTGTTAAAATATCTTTCTAATAATGTGTATTTATATATATATATAAAAAAGGTTTAATAAATACAATTTTATTAGTCTCAAGTAAAAATAAATAAAAAATAATACTTACAACAAACGATTGAACAATGGCGGTGAAAGCCGAACCAATAATTATACCTATTTAAAAATGTTAGAATAAACGCGTTCTAGATTACAACATTTGTAATAATAATAAATTAATAATAATAATAATTTGATACTTTACCAATACCCAAATCAACCACATTTCCGCCTCTTTTTTCAGTAAACTTTTTAAAGTGTTTCCAAATATTAATACACATTTTCACTTATTTTATTTAATATATATATTTCGCCACGAAACTAAATAACAAAGTGTTCTTTGGATGATGAAATTCGGCTTTAACATAATTTCAGTTAGAAAATGTGACCAAATTGAATAATTTGTATAACTTGTACTCGAATACAAACATTTGTATCTTTGTAAAACAAGTTAAAATACAAGATTTAATCCTGATCCATCTACTGAGGTTACGAGATTACGACTACGTGATTAAAAGGCCACCTATACTCTATACTTTTATGCGGTCCTAACCACTCAACTACTCAACTTTCACAATATCGGTCTACATTATAACTATGGTAAACGGCCAAGAATGGTTGGATAAAAATTATCCCAAAGATGGAGTATATAGAGGATTTCCTAGCATAATCCTTTCATATGTTTTCGGATAATAGACATTTGGGCTATTGGCAATTTAAGTGGTTCTTTAAAACTGGAAAGCTTCAATTGTTGGATTAATTCTCTTACTGAATTGGATTTGCGAGGTACTCCAAATTTAAAAAAAGATTATTTGTAGCTCTAATAATTTGAGAAAATTAACTTTGGGAAGCTTAAAAACTCTTCGCTATTTAGATTGTAGTAATAATAAACTTACTGAATTGGATACTAGTAATTGTCCTCGAATAGAAAAACTAATTTGTGATGGTAATCAACTTAACCAAGAAATTGTTCAGAATCTCCAATCTGAGTTAGAACGAGAAAGAACCAAAACTAAGTTTCTCATGAGTCAACTAGAAGAGAAAAAATCAAAAACCAATGAACCACAACTTTCTAGCGAGAAAAACAAGCATCACTCAGTCAAATATATAAAAAAGACCTTTTTCTTCTTTTTTCAATTATCTCACACACCCAAATTTATTCCTAATTTCTTGACCTAACGCCCAACCCCTTGCCTAACCTTCTCCTTTGCCCTAATACCTAAAAGCATAATCTACAAATTATTATAATCTTTACTATTTTTACTTTATTTGTTTTTTTGCAAAATATTTCTATAAATATAATAATAAACCAAAGATTCTTACATTTTTTTTTAAAAAAGGGTTTTGTTTAAAAAAATATATACAAATTTGGTCATGCGAAAAATATCACAAACGAAATATGAATCAAAAAAAAAAAAAAAATTAGACATTTTAAATACACAAAATGAAAAATAATACATTAAATGCAAAGAAAAAACATATTTCTCTATAATAATTACTAAGAAGAAAGAATAAATATGTGTTTGATCTTTATTTTATGTAATCAACTATTAGGTTGTCTTAAATTTTCTTCAAATAATTGTACATATTCGTCATCATCAAAATCATCATCTCCTTCATCATCACTTTGATTACCAGGATCATAATCTTCGTCGTCGTCACCATAATCATAATCATCATCTGCATCTTCGTCTTCATAATCTTGCTCGACTTCATCAGCTTCATTGTCATGAGCACCTCCATCAAATGTTAGCTCTGAATAAAAACTATCTGATTCGTGTTTTTTTACTTTATCAAATGCCTGTTCTGATTCATTTTCATCATCATCATCATCATTATTGAACGTTATGGATTGCCGTAAAGGAGATTGTTTCAAGCGTTTCGCATTACGATCATCTACTTCTAATACATCCCCATAACGCTTCAATCTTTTACGTCCACCACTATAAGATAAAAAGAAAAAATTTTATGTGAAACTATCTAAAATTAAATAAATAAATAAAAAAATAAAATCTACCTTTCGGTTTCGGTTTCGCTCTCATCTAAAGCGCTAGTATCACCTGACTCTGCTAAAAGTTCATCCACTTCATTTAAAGCAGATCGCCAGTCGGTTGATTCATAATGCTCCATACGTATTTCCGGGCTTAATAACGCATCATCATCATCGGTTCCTGAAGGTGTTTCTATTATCAATTCCAGGGGTTTATCAACCTCTGATATTAGACTCGTCTCAGAATCACGTGGTGAATTTGGTTCCAAAGTGTAATCTTTTTCCAGCTGTCTTGCCCATTTTTTTATGGATTCATCCAACCTTTTGATTGAATAAAATTAATTCTCATATAAAATTAATACATATTAAAAATAAATATTACTTACCATTCTTTACGTACTATATAGACATCCCCTTTCCGATTAGCTTCTCTGACTTTTTCAGTCCCTCGCTAAATTAGAATTAAAACTAATTAAAAATTATTGAAAAAATTTAGTAAAAAATATATGTACTTACATCGCCGGCTACAAGGTGTGTAACTTCATTGTTCCAGTTCGCGGAACATTCCGCGCCAAACTCCTTTGCTAAAATCCATATATCAGAACTATCAATTATAATGGTTTACTAATTAATATTTGAATTTTAACAAAAAACGACGAGATAATTAAGAAAAATTACCTTTCTCTCTTTTGATTAGTTGGGATAACATGAGTAAACAAAATATTGACGCCTTTCAATACTTGACTTTTCATCTGTGGTATTAAATTAGTAACATCAGGTGTCATTGGTGTACCGTTTGAATTCGAATTACTTTGCAAACTATCGTACTTCTCGTAATATTGTTTATGAATATTTTCCAAAGCCTAATTATATATAATTAATATACTATCATAAATCGAAATATTTCAAATATATCTTTTATTTACCTTCAATAAATGAGGTAATTCCGTGTCATTGTCAGCGAGCATAGGCCTTGATATTGATTTCTGTTCTATAAATGAAACTTTTTGATCCAAATCTTTAATTTCATTATTTTCATTTCGGTCAAATTGTTGCTTTTTGGCAGATTTCTCATCAACATTGTCAACATCCGAAATTTCTATAGTTGAAAAAAATAATGGTGTTAAAATGTTATAACTTTAATTCAAGAAGAAGAATAATTTAAACAAAATATACCTTCAAAAGAACGTTTATTGTTTTGTACAGGCTTTAATAAAGCATCAATAGAAGTATTATTTTCTGTATTCACTTTAAGTGGCTCCCTATTTGATTTTTCTTCGGAGATATTAACATCCCTTAAAACTTCTATAATATTTAATCGTGTTATCATTTTTTAATATAAATCATTTGCAATCATTAAAGTTAAAAATAATTATATTACCTTTATCGTTCTTAATATTATTCTCCTCTGCAATTTCCGGAGAATTTACTTCATTGTTCTGTTCTTTTTCTTTAGAATTTTCATCTTTGTTAAAAGATATATTATTCTCATCAATCGAAGCATTATTCGCGGGCTCTATAGGGAATATTTTATAAATTAAATAGGAAAATAAAAATTAAATCATAATAAAACAAAAATACCTTTCTCTACAACATTATTTAAATCTGCGCCATCAGGTATTTCTTTATGAGTGCTATCATCTTCTGAAACAATCACCATAGGAATTGAAGTTTGTGGAACTGGTCTCTAAAAATAACATCATGAACAAATAAAAATTAGTAAAAATTATCTGATAATAAATAATGATGAAACTAACCTTTGGTAAATATGTATCATTTATATCACCAATTCCGACAAAAAAATCATCTGTAAAGAAAAATTTTTTCAAAAATGTTAAATATATAATTTTTGTAATTTGTTTTACATGATCTAAATACTTACATGGATGGACCTTAATTAAGTTAGGTGACCAGCTCCATACGTCAGCTCTGTCGTCTATTACAACGACCATCGAATTGTCACAAGGAAACAAACGACGAATATCTTTTTGTGTCATACCTAAAATTTTATTATAAAGGAGAAGTAAACATCGAAATGCAAATATATTTTTTTTTTTTTAAAAAAAAAAGGAAAGAAAAGATAATAAAATAAAAATAAATAAAACGATCTTGTTGTTATCTATTTCAACTTACTGCCACTCTCATCGCGTGATAAAATACGTTCATTAAAGATAGTATTATCTGGATCAATAACGTTCGCAACAGCAGATGCATAATTTCGTGTTCCCATTGTATATATATGAGGTTCGTATATTTTGGATACACTTCTAAGAAATTCTTTAAGCCCAGGTCTAATTATAAAAAATTTTTTAAATTAAAAAAGTTATTATGAATTAATAGAATCATTCAAATCAACATACCTTAGTTTAATATAGTACACGATTGGACTATCAGGCAAAGTGAATTTGCGAACATCTTCAGCCACATCATTTCCATCCTTTATCCATTCTTCAACGGTTGGATCTATCGTCGCATGAATAAGAGTTTGATCCAAATCAACTATTAAAGAAAGCTTTCTTTCTTCTAATAATCGCCTTGAAGTTTCTTTTTCTAATCTTTCAGCTTCATTAAGACTAACTGTCAATCCAAAAACATTGTGGGCCATGCTAATAGTAGCTCTTTGGGCATATTCAATCCCATTATGATCTGTTGTAGTAATGTCCGTTCCGCATAAAGCGCACAATCCATGAAGTTGAATTGAATGTGAACAGGGCTCAATTACTCCTACCACAACCTTGTTGCTAAAAAGAATTGAATTAGAATTAATACCTTTATAAAAGAGACATATAACAAAAAAAAATATACTTTTTTCTGTCGATCGTTTCTCCTTGCTTGACGTGAAATTGTTCGAGTTCACCTTCAGTAGGACTCTTTAATTCTTCTATTTGAGGAGTTAAAACATCCATGTATTCAGATTCTTCAGTAGCTAAAGCGGATCGTTTCTGTATAGTCTTTTTGTATTCATAACTTAAAAGCGATTGCGATTTCGCGATCTTATCTCCCGGTTTTACCAAGAAATTGCAAATGGTTGCTGGTAAATGCTCCATAGGTATTTTAATTAATACCGGTACTTGACTCATTTTATTTAAAAATCGATAAAAACGTTATATTGTTTGAATGAATTTTATTTTTTTTTTTTTATCGTCGATTTCAATCTTTTGGCCTCCACCTACGTAAAGTTCGTAAATACAATAATACAAAAATTTATAGAACAAAGAAATGGCATAAAAATCATAAAGAGTTAAATAGTGCTATTAATTATAGATTTTTAGATCTTAGTATAAACGCGAAAGTTTTTATGGTTAAAAAGTTAATAGGTATTTTGAAAAAAGAATGGTGGAGTGTCGAATTTAAGGCCCTTTATAGGGAATTTTTATTAAGGTTATGTCATCAATTTTGTTTAGACTAGGGAAGGGTGGCTTAGAACCAATAGTTAATTGCTATTTATAAATTATACATTTGTGCTACTGTTGTACGATCATTACTCTCCATAGCTCTTTTTTTTTCATCTCGTTATTTTCTTTACTGAATTTAACATTTAACGAGAAATAATGACCTTTGGAGTAATAAAAGCAATATATCGTGGAGCCAAACGAACACCAATGAATACAAAAAGAGGACATAATTATTATAAAGGCATGGCACTAATATCAAATATTATTTATTCATATATGTATATACATATTATTATTATATTTACAAGAAATTTTACGAAAAAACTCGGACTTAAACAGGTACTGGCTCTGGTTCTATGGGATGGCATACGAAAAGAGGTATTTAGGCATAATATCAATTAATATTTTTATTTTTAAATTGATTCAATTATTAATTAACATTCTTTCATTAGGTGGATATAAAATTGACCCCAAAAAAGTTCGTACGTACGTTGTACCAAATTTAACCGATTGTCCGGTAAGAAATAATTTTATTTAGTTGCATTTTTTTATTTCCATTTACGTCTTTATTTAATGACTTTATTTAATTAATATCTATATTCTTTAAAGTATCTGCCTTACGTCGAGCCCAAAGCTAAGAGGGGAATTAAATATACCATTGACACAGATAAATATTTGGAGTTGGCTAATAAATACGTAAAAAAAATAAGTGAAAATAAATTAATGATTGCAAATGAAGCAAAAAATTAATGTCTCGAAAAACTGTTTCTGAAATTAATAAAAAAATTTTTGTTAATAAACACGTGAGTTACATTTTGTTAGTGTGATTATTCCCTATCAAACAGCATTTAACCTTATTTATGAATGTTTTGTTCTTGTGATCATGCTTACAAGTTTAAATTATAAAGACTTAAAAGGTAAGGCTCAAATTTTGTGCAATGATTTTCTTAAATCACACTAATTTGTAATGATTTCCTGTGATTCCCGCTCAGACCATTTTAATTTGCTTTTTTATTTATTATAGCAAAATTTCGTTATAAATAGTTTCGTAATCACTAAACTATGAAACACATTTAATGATCGTCAAAACATTGAATGAGTATGACAAGAATAAATTATCGCGGGGTTGCTAAGCTATATGATTTCCTAAGGATCTTACATGCATGATGACATCATATCTGTAACTTAATATTATTGTGAGGAAATCATTAATTTTTTTTTTTAGACTTGAAGAAAATAAAATGTCAACGGCACCTTGGAAACCCATTTTAAAATCGATTATTGCAGAACATTTTAAATTTTCCGATACAATGCAGCCAATGCAGGTATAAAATCAATCTTTATGTTACCTTTTTACATTTGAGGTAATTTAGTCTATATATATTTTTCTTTTAAAGCTGGCAACCTTTAATACAGTTACGCAAAGACCTGCAAATCGTACCGTTGTCTTCCGTGGATTTATTAAAGATAAAGAAGATTCTTTTGAATCCGATTTACTTTATGTAACAACTGACGTACGTTCTAGTAAAGTAGAACAACTTTCAAGCAATTCCGGATTCGAAATTTGTTGGTAAAGAAATTTTTTTCAAAAAAAAAAAATTATATATATTTCAAAAAAATTTTTGACATATACATAAAATTTTAGGTGGTTTCCTAAAACGCAAGATCAATTTCGGTTAACTGGAAATGCATGCGTATTTTCATCCGACTCATCAATCAACTCAAAATTTCCATTTGCCAAACTTTCTTCATATTTTCCTACGGCTAATTTTAATTGGGATGAAAAATTAGAATATTATTTCAAACAAATTTCTGATCAATTACGCGCAGACCTTACTCGTCCTACTCCCGGCCTTCCTCTTGAACATGAAAATTATACTAAAAAACTCGCAGTTGTAGCCAAAGACGAGAGAGAAAATGAACTAGTTAAACAGTCATTTGCAAATTTTGCGTTAGTCATTTTTGAGGTTGAAGAAGTTGATCGTGTTGAATTAGCCACTGACCCTCATAAAAGAACAAATTGGAAATTGAATAATCAAACTAGAAAATGGGTAGAGCAAAGAGTTTATCCTTAATTATAATAAATGAAATGATAGTTTAATTTATTTTATTTATCACGCAATCGTTACACTACAATTTCTAAAATTGGTTAATAATAACTCTCTTATATAACTATTTAAATTCAACGTGTTTTTGTAAATTAGATTTGTGTAATTAGTGAGAAAGTAGTATGTGTTCTTATTAATTGTTGAATGAGCCAACCTTACATAGTGTTTTTTTATAATAATTTTATTATTCTTCTTTTAGAAATTATAAGGAGACGAGATCTTAGCTACAGTACTACTGTTTTATGCTATAATCTGCTATAATAAATAAAATAAAAAAGCAATTTCCTAACTTGATCGAATATAAACATATAAATAAGATAATATCTAAAATTGGAGAGAAAATCTTAAAGTCTTAACAATTCCAAAAAGGAAATATTACACCACTATTACACCATCTCAACATAATTTTATGACTATTATAAAATTCTCTGCAAATCCTATTTTGAAGAGTGTGCATTTATAGAGTGAATAAATTGAAGTTAATCAATAGAACTGCAAGTAAAAAGATGAATTCTAAAATAAACACTTCTCTTCAACTGATTAGAATCATTTAGGAACTTGATGGTATATTTCATTCAAAGTACTTGCATTTATGTTGTATTATTAGATTATACTACTAGTTCAAAGATCGTAAGATTTCCCAATGCTGATCATACCTGTTTTTGAATACTTTAAAGTTTAAAGTTGGGCAACATAGTACAGCTTTTCTGCATTCTTTTCTTTATTGCTAAAAAAATTTTAGATTATCTATTATTTAAAAATGTCTACACCTTTAATTGCTTTTCCGAAAAACACTTTTCGGTTTTTTACGCGCACTTATGCAAATTTAGCCGTTAACACAAAACTTAATATTCAGAATACTAACTCAAAAGTTAATGAACAAAACGAAATTGACAAGTCTGAAATAGATAAGGAAAAATCTTCTAGTATCATTTCTTCTATAACATCAGGTGATTATGATATTAATTATGATTAAATGCAATTAAGCTTTTATAATTTTTGAATCGAATTTGTGTTCCTTAAAAAATGATAAAAAAATTGTAAAGGGATCAATCCAACTTCACAATGGACCAAATATCATCCAATACCAGATCCTAATTTCGAGGTCGTCTCTGCTGGAACTTTGGGTGCTTTACTCTTGGTCAAAATTCCGCCAAGGTCAGAGATATTTGCAGTACCGGGAACAGCCATTGCCGTATCAGGCAAAGTGTGGATTTTTTTAATCAATGAATAAGTAAAAGAAAGAAGTAATGTTTAAATCATTGCAAATTAACTAATAAACTTAATTATTTGCCATGGAATTAGGTTATAACAGAACGCACCACAGACGGAAATATTTTTATCGCTTTAGGTAGAAAGCTTGCCAGTGGATCTTTGGTATATCATAAGGTAAAAAATAATATTTAAAATTTTTGCTAGTTCATCAGCTCATTGAATTGATACTAGCTTTGAACTTTATGATATTATCAGTTTATTACAAGTTCGCATCCTGGAGATGTTCTTTTAGCACCTCGAAATCTATCGGACATAGCTGCCATAAATATGGATGGTACATCCGTGTATTATGTTAGAAAAGGGGCTTTTCTTGCACGTGGTCCTAGAGTCACAGTAAACGTTAGCCGAATTTATGGAATGGTATCTCGATTCATTACTTAATTTTGTATTTATGTAAATACGAATGTGAATTTTCATTTATAATTATAATTTAGGGTTCATTAAATGCTTTTGCAAATCGGGTTACTGGCAGAGGTACATTAGCTATCTCGAATTATGGTGCCATACATCGATTGACTTTGAACCCAGGAGATGAATATCTGGTGAATGCAAAGTACTATAACATACATTACTATGATAATTGCTATTTCTTTTTTTTTTGTCTCCATTCCTTACTAATTTCTTCTATATTAGATATATTCTAGCTTGGAATTCAAAAACTAAGCCAATACTATCACCACCTTTGATTACATCATCTTCTATTGATAGAAGCAGGCTAGTTAGGAATGTTACTGCTAAATTATCAGAAAAAGCTAACAATCTTTTTGATCCAATTCTTAATAGTCCTTCAGTAAGACCAACACTTGATAGACTAAAAAGAATATCAGTCCGAACCAGGATATGGATGTTTGGTGGACCTGTTCGTATTAAATAATAATATGGTTTGTCTTAATGAATAAAATTTTATATTTACTTTATCAATTTTCAGGAGTATTTGAAGTTGACGGGTCCAGGCGATTTTTACTTGTCATCAAGAATAGAGCCTGTTTTAGGAGGGTTTAAATCGTGAGTCATTTAAAATGACTTAGTTAATATTATATAAAATATTTCTAATATATCAATTATTTCAGATTAACATCACCCTCTGTTGAAGAAATTGTAGCAGCGGATCCTGTACAATTGGATCAACAAAATCAATATTTTCAATCTCCGCCTTATATACCCAAAATGTCATATGCCGTAGTAGCGAATGATGGAAAAGTAACTTTTATAAAACCTCCCCAAAGTCAATCAAAATCTTCATTCAGTAGTTCTTTATCACCTCCACCTCCTCAACAAGATAAAAAATCATCTCTTGGAAAAATAGTTTCAGGAGACGGAATGTTACAATTAAGACGTTGGGTAAAAGGAGTAGTGGGAGGTAATAAAGACGTAAGAAGAGAATAAAAAAAAAATGAAATGAAACGTCGGACTTTGTAAAAATTTATATTTATAATAGAAAGCATGTAAAATAGCTTATTTCTCTGCATTTAATAAATATACTTTTTTAATTTAGTGATTGTCAGTTTGTCACCATCATTTAATTTTTATTACGTGACTTTCATGAAATTTGTCACCAACTACAGCTATGATTTAACGTAGCTTTGGTATATAGCTTTAAATCATGTATTTTGGTTTGATTCTAACTAGTGTTTCTGTTTCCGTAATATATTTAATTGTAAATTTTATATAATAAAGAGATGCATTTACCAAAAAAAAAAATTGTCACCAATGTCATACCCCTTCGTCTAATCCTCTTTATCACTTTATGTATCACGCTTAATTTAATTTACAAGTAAAAATAATCACATAACTTTGAAAGTAAACAAAATTTTCGAATATTTTTTAAAAAAACAATTTCTCACTGAATTTTATTAAATTGATCATTTTACTAATTCAGTCTTTTGCTTGGAGGCCCCATATTGCAGTGGTCATATGATGTATATTCTTAGGGGTTGGTTATTACAACCTTCCTTATACGTGTGAGAATTTTTTATCAACTCCTTTTCTTAGGTTATTAATAGCATCTAATTGACGTATTTCTTCATATTTCCCCTTTTTTATATATTACCAGCAACGATTTTATGATCATAATCCATTTTACTGAGTAAATAATCCATTTATTCATATTGTTTTATTTTCTTTTAAATAAGAAATATCAAAAAATTATTCTTCACCATCATTATCATTAAAGATCTCAGAGAATTAAATCAATTATGACAATTTGTGTAGATGTAATACATTATAAATTTTATCGATAATTATGTTAAAAATCAGTATAATTAAATTGTAATAGTATAATTAATAGGTTAATATTTTATTAGGCTTGAACATGTTGCTTTTTTATAATCAATTTAAACCCCTTTTTTAAAAAAAAAATTAAAATTCCCAAATAGAAATCTTACTAATATTTCTTATTATATTTTTAAAAAAAATAGTTAAGTTATCTTTTGCAGAAGCTAATTTTCAAGAGAAAGACAATAAGATTATACAGCTATTTCAATTTTGCATTGCTCACATTTAATAAAATACTTTATATTTACCTTCTATACTTTTCTCATTGTTATGATCTAAAATAAACTGATGCAACTCTGCAAAAAGAAACGCAATTACAAGACCCTCATCACAGATTAGACTGATCCATTCATATTTCCAGAAGGACATGCACTTGACTCTATCATACCAGTAGGTAAGAACCAGTGGCGATTTCAGTTCACAAATCCAGGTAATCATTTGTATAATATATAACATCTTATCAATAATAATTAAAGATATTGGTCCAATATCTTAGGGTGCTGTCAGATATTACCTAATATTTTAGGGGGAGGGGGGTAACTAAAGATCTTAGGTTACATACAATATTATATAAGAAATTATATATATAATATATCTTACTTAGGGAAGTGATATTAGGTAATTTCTGATAGTGCCCTTATTGCAAAAAATAGAATTAATTATAAGTTAAAATAGTTCTACTAAGAATTAGTAAATAAAATATGGTAAACATGTTTAAAATACATTAGTTTAATCATTATTGGTAGTTTTTAAAAGCATATAACTCTAATCATTTTCTGAGAAAATGGTTTTTAAAATTACTTAATCTATAACATTTTGAATTTATATATTAGTAAAATTTAAAATCTATTTTTTTCAAATAATTTGTGAATTTTTTCAATTTTAAAAAGTTTAATTTAACTAAGTTATATTTAGTTTTTATTTAATTTTTAAATTTTTATATGGCTTTATTTGAATTTTTTTAATATTTATATTCTTTATTAAACTTGTACAGTTTTTACTAAAATTACATATACTCTTATGCCAAAAGTTTAGGACTACTTTATTTTTATCATATTAAATAAATTTTATTCTTATTAATATTCTTTACATTGTAATTTTTTGAATAAATATAAAAAATTATTATATTGATCTTTATAAATCATATAATACAAGGTTTTTTTTCTTAATAACGAATTTTTAACTTTTTAATCAGAGTGATTATAACAAAAATAAGTACAAAATTTAAATAGTTAGGTAAGATTATATTACAATTTTTTAAAAATCAAATCAGTAGTTTAATAAACAATTAAGAATCGATAATTTATATATGAAAATTATTATTTATTAGGTCTTATATATAAATTATCAATCCTTAATTATTAATTTTTTGATAACTACTAGTATTGACTTAATTTTCATGAATTAAATTATTAGAATTTTGTATTCGTTTTACTGTAATTGCTTTAATTAAAGAGTTAAAATTTTACTATTAAAAAAAAAACTTTATTTTACATGATTTATAAATATAATTATAATAATTTTTTATGTTTATTTAAAAAATTATAATACAAATTTTTTTTTAAAAAAAAATAAATTATATAAATAAAAATAAAACTTTATTAATATAATCAAAAATAAGGTGATTCTAAACTTATTATGCAGAAATGTATATATACCTATAGTGCAAGTTTATAAAATATTTTTTTTAAATATGAAAGTTATTGTATACTGATTTTTTTTCACTTATTGGAAAAAAATTTATAGTAAAAAATAAGAAATTCCAAAAAATTTTTTTTTTATTAATTACAAAGTCTGTAAAATTAATTATAGAATGTTGATCATTTTCTTTGGTTAAGTAATGATCTGTTTCTTAATATTAAATTAGAATAATATTTAAATAATTAAAAAAAAATAAAATTAATGAAGTATATTTTAAAACCAATTTTTTTTATGAAATTAATAATTAATTTAATTATAAAATAATATTACAGTTAAACTTGATATTTGATATATTAATATATATATGGGTATTGTTAAATATCACCAGTGGTAATCATTATTATACTACTTAATTCTGGCTGAAAATTATAATTTTGGCTAGAGTTAAAAAACACATCATAAATTTTTTTTCAAAAATTTTTATTTAAATAATAAATGTGTAAAACAAACCTGAATAAATACTAATTACACTAAAATTTTGAAAATTTAACTAAAATAAATTTTTTTTAAAACAAAAAATCGTATTTTACTTATAAAATCAAACTTTTCTGTTTTTCTCAAAAACTATCTAAACAATAAGGTTGCTTGTCTAAACCTCTTCAAAATCCAACGATTAGTTTCATCAAAATTTTACTATAGATTTATTATAGTTTCGGCAGAGTTTTGGCAGTTTCGGCATTTATAATAAGTTTCGGCAGTTTCGTCTTTCTCCAAAGTTTTGCCAGTTTTTTAATATAACTTTAATATAGTTTCAGCAGAATTTCGCTTTTTGGCGAAATGCCATCTTGCCTAAACCCCTAGGTTTCGGCAAGCAACCTTACTAAACAATAGCTTTTATAATCTAAGGAAAACTTATTCTACTTATAAATTTATATATAATAATAATATTTATATTACAATTAGAATAATATCTTAATTAAAAATTTTTGAAAATTCAAAAAATATTTTATATATAGTTATAATCATTCCTGATAATATTTAGCAATATCTTATATATATAGTAAAAAATTTAAGGGTATTTTATTATATACAATTAATTACAAAAAATGACTGATTATTTAAAAATAAATAATTTTTTTTTTTTTATTTATAGTATACAGTCAGACCCCCATATAGTCACCTAATTGGTTTCTATAAAATCAGTGATTGTATAAGGGTGTGCTTATATACAGGTACTATATCTTAATTTTGGCTGAAATTAGTAAATTATAATTTATAAAATTATGAGATTACTACAGATATTTCCTTTTTTGGTAATAACCATTCCACAAAAAATTTTTTTGCCGATTTTGTGTTGGAATGTTATGTAACATTAATTCCTAAAAAGGAAAGAAAAATTATATGTTTCGTAATTCTGGGCGAAATTGCTTTTTGGCTGAAATTATGATGTGATTAATAGAGGTCTAATCACTAATAGAAATGATATATCCGTTTGGGATTATGCAGCAATAGTAATTATAGTCAAATTGTAATTATAGAGGGGTAATTTGATAGTATTTAAACCCGTTTCTCAAAATTGAGTTCTTATAAAGAGGTGTGACTGTATAAGGTGCGACTGTATAGAGGTTTGACTGTAGTTAGGCCAGATTTTATTAAAATTTGAAATCGTACATAATTACAAATATGAGAAAACTCTCCACTCCTGCTTTGCAATGAGAATTTCCAGATACACTTGTATCAAATGATACTTCACATTAAAAAAAAATAAAACAAAAACATAAAAATAAAGGAAAACAGTCAGTAATAAAACCATTCTACAAATTACTATACCACTAAAATTAGGTCCTGATCATTTTGTACTGAATTTTTCAAGATACTCCTAATTTTCTTAGCATCAATCCAATATCAGCTAAAACCATAAGTTTGTTAATACTGTCCAAGCTTTTATCAATCTACTTAACTTATTTGGCTATTTTAATTTTCTTACTCAACTGTATTATGTTAGTAGAATTCTGAGCAACCTTAAAATTGTCATTTTACTTTACCTTCTGATGGCAGTTCCTTCTTCAAGTTAGAGGTAAAGTATCTTTTCCAATTACCAGTAAATTCTTTTAAATTAAAAGCGACTTTATCCAAATTAGCTTATGATTTATAGTAAGTAATCAACTTACGAGTATCTTTATTTTGAATTAATTTAAATGTTTATATCCAATAGGTGTAAGAATAAAATAAACAGGGTTAGCTAAATATAAGGATGCCATGATAATAGAAGCAAGAACTCCTATAATACTGCCTGAAATTGTTCTCATTTTTTTTTGTTTGAGATCCCAGTTAATCAGAAATAGTATTTCAAAAAAAACTGATCTGATTCGTATCTGCAGATCTAATTTGTGACAGATCAGATCAGACCATATATTTTATGATCTGTGATCTAATCTGAATCAAAAAAATTTGATTCGTTTTGGATCAGATCAACAATTCGTTAAAATCAGATCAGATCAGATTGATTCGAACGGATCTGGTTCAGATTTGATTCAAAACCATTGTGAAATGATAAATAAAAAACATTTCACAACATTTTTTATTAAAATTGCTAAAAAAACGTTGTAAACTATTTTTTTCTTCAATAAATTAATAATAAAAAATGTTTTGCAACGTTTTTTATTAAAATATTTAAAAAAACTGTTGCAAAACGGTATTTTTTATTTTAAATTAAAAATAAAAAATGTTTTGCAACATTTTTTATTAAAATCATTAAAAAAATGTTGCGAAACATTTTTTTTGATAAATTAATAATAAAAAACGTTTCACAATATTTTTATTAAAATCATTAAAAAAATGTTACAAAACATTTTTTTAATAAATTAATAATAAAAAATGTTTTGCAACATTTTTTATTAAAATAGTAAAAAAACTGTTGTGAACCATTTTTTATTTTTAATTTAAAATAAAAAATACCGACTGTTTTATAACATTTTTTTATTAAAATAGTAAAAAAAACTGTTGTGAAATGGTATTTTTCCTTTGATTGAAAATAAAAAACGTTTTGCAACATTTTTTATTAAATAGTTAAAAAAACTATTGTGAAATGGTTTTTTTCTTTTAAATTGAAAGTAAAAAACATTTTGCAACGTTTTTTTATTAAAATCATTAAAAAAATGTTGTGAAATGTTTTTTTTTGCTAAATTAATAATAAAAAACGTTTCACAATATTTTTTAAATTTCAGATTCAGATTGGATCAGATAAATCTAAATTGAATTCAGATTAAATTGAATCAAGTCTATTTCAAATTCGGATCAGATCAGATCTATTTTTTTGATCTGAATTCAGATTGGATCGAATCCATTTTTTTTTAATCCGAATTCAGATCAGATCAAATTCATCTTAAATCTGATTTGACTTGATCCGTTCAGAACACTAATCAGAAACTATCATAGAGTAATTCTTCAAGTAGAGCAGTCCAAATTCCATTATTTTATAAATTCATTGCTGTCTTGTTGAGGTTTACTGATACTATTACAATAGTGTACTTCTGTTGTAATTTAAATTTAATCGCAATTACCTAACCTTAGACTTTTAAGTGATTAAACACATTAAGTTAAATTTATTTGAAGGGAATATCATAGACTGTAATTTTGTAGACATTATCTTTAATTTCAGGATTATATCCAATCATTACAGTACTAATAGTCTTGAATGCTGGTGTTGCTAATTGTTTCTTAGTACTCACAAGAAAACTCTTACTAATAATACTAGCTTTTAAAACTAACACAATATTCTTTTTTTTATTCTTAATAGGAGTGGGCGGGTTCAATCTGTTGGAGTTACTATTTGAGTCTTATTTAACTTCTTCACATAAGAAACTTATTACTTGTTCTTTTTTTTAGAAGTAAAAGAAGTGGCTTTTATATTAAGAGATATAGGTGCTTTGCAGTAAAAAAGGGTGAAACTACTGAAAAAATTTAAATTTTCTTTTATATATCAAAAATATTTTAAATGTTATAATTTATTCAAATTTTATATTAACTTTTTTTTTATTTTTTTTAGTAGTTTTGTCCCTTTTTACTGCAAAGTGCCCATATGATTTGTTCCTCAAGTTGTATAATATTTACTGATTGATGCATTGGACTTTCAAAAATTTTTATATCTATCTGTTAATTCTCTACAGGACTCCGTTTACTTATAATAAAGGTCACCATAGAAAATTGGCCCTTTACTAATAGTTTTTACCTTACTTTTTTCTTAAATTCTATTGGTTAATTAGTTAAAAAGGAAAAAAATCATAATAATGTAACATAAAATTTTCTTTTATAGTAGGATCTGCAAAGAATTTTATATATGATTTTTACCTTAGGCCTGGGGTGACCTATCTTATAAGTAAGCGGGATCCTTTTTAGTTTGTTATAATGACATTACACTATGAGTTATACTTTTTATGCTATTTTAGTCAAGCTTATTGATAATCAAATTTCCAAAGTGTTTAAAAACTCCAAGCAAAATAAACAAAAAGTAATATAATTTGGTTAAGTTTTTCATACCAAAGATTTTGAAAGTAACTTGAAACTTTGAATATATTATTTGTATAAGGGTTATATTTTAGTTACAGGTATCTTTAACAGCCTTTATTATATCATTCTCAAAAATTTTGTTTAAACAATATTCTGTAAGTCCAAACCTAACAAGTTCAGGAAAGGAAACCATTCTTAGATTAAATATAAGTTGTTGAGCTTTTACAAGATCCATATCAAGTCTTTTGGAGCTTTGGAAAGCCATTTTATCTTAAAAATATTAAAAATATTGCTGATAGTTTTCTTGAAAAAAAATGGTCTATATGATTGTCAAAAAGAGTTCCAGTCAAAATAAATAAATTCAACCATTTTCATTAATAATTTTATATTTATATTAATTAGAAATTAGAAATGTAAAATCCATTTTATAAACATTTTTTCACGTAATTAATGAGAAAAAAATTTCAACTTTATAACCAGAACTAAAGTAATATATATAAATGACAGAAATTGATTCTTTAACTTAAAATTTGTCTATTTTCAAAATATCAGAAAGATTTGATTAGTAGTTGTTGAGAATTAATGTTGTTAAGTACAAGTCAAACTGAACCAAGCCAAACCAGACTGATGGGGTCGACTTAGTTTGACTTGAAGATTTTTAAGTTATGGTCCGGTTCAGTTCAACTTGACTTGTCAAGTTGATGGGTTCAAACTGATGGAGTTGATGGGGGTCAATAGGTAAGTTAATGGGACCGATGGAAAGTCAATGGAACTGATATTAATGATCCCATCAGTTCAACTTGAAGGTCTAAGTCAATCGGTTTGGTTTGACTTTGGCTCCAAGTTGGACCAAACTGGACCGGTAACAACACTATTGAGAATTCTACTTTTAAAATCAATGAATTTTGGTGAAATTCTTATAATTTTATATGTAGATCATTAATTTTGCCGATTTTTAAAAGGGGATTTCTCAACAACTACTGATTGAATCTTTCTGAATTTTTGAAAATAAGCTAATTTTTAGTCAAGGAATCAATTTTTTATACCTATTTTACTCTAGCTGCTTTGGTTAAAGTGTTGAAATTTTTTCTACTCTGAAAATTAAGTATTTATATACAATTTTACATTAATTTAAGCAAGAAAATAAGTTTTTACACTTTTAATTTTAAAATAAAAATAAAATTATTAATGAGAATAATTAATTTTATTTAATTTTTAGGTGGTCGGTCACTTTTTGTAACCCACTGTATATATAAAAATCTGTACATTATGTCAAGTTATTCACTATATAAAAATTCACTATAAAGAGGGCGAACTGTATATAAAAATATTTATTATATTTACATTTGCAATAAAATAAAGATTGATGAATTCCAATCTTAGTTTTTTAAATAAAAAACTATTAAATAAAACGATAGTGTATTTTATTAATAAAGGTCAATATAATTTCAGAGTATAATAAAAAAAAAAGAAGAATCTGAGAAATATACTGTCGTTAAAATAATTAAACTGTGTAAAAATTTTATTATTGATTTGTTTTATCTTTTAAATTAAAAAATAATTTTACTTGCACGTTACCCTTCATTAATTTTGGAAAAAAGCCTATCATTAATGGAATCTACATTTGAAATAAATTTAATAAATTAGTTAGTAAGTTGTTAAAAAATTTTTTAATGTTTTAATTAGTAATGGAATTATGCTCAGAAGCCATAACCTAAAACTACATATATTACAGTTTAAATTTCAGAAAGTGAAGAAATTTCTTATAAATCATCATAGCATAGTAAGTTCAAAATCTATTAATTTAAAATGAAGAAAAACTTTTTTACCTACAATAATTATGAAAGTCAGACTTTCAATTACTGGAAGAATATCTATTATAATATAAAATGTTAGTATATGGCTTAGTAATTTTGGTGAAAAAAAACTTATATTCGCTCAGAGGTGTCCTAAATTTTCCTCATATTTGAGTGTGAATTCCGATGTAAAGAACTTTTATGCATCATAGCGAATAGTCTTTCATATTACTAGGGAAATATTTTACCTTGTTAATTCGGGAAGAATCTTCTCAAACGTTAGATCTGTGGATTTTTTTGATATTTGATTATCACGTCACACGTGAAACCTTATAATCAGTTGCAGTATATTTTAATCATATTTAATTATCTTCTTTCTTAATATAGACAACCACTCCTTAGAAATAAAATAAATCAAATTATAATGGCGTTTTTTACACGTGTAATACGCGCAATGGAAAAAATATCACCAATATCATTAGCAGAACATTCATGGGACAATGTAGGAAAATTAATAGAACCACCATATCCAAGACATTTTCCTTCGCGAGTACTTCTTACAATAGACTTAACTCCTTTAGTATTGGAGGAAGCTTTAGCCGATAAACAAATTGGAGTAATTATAGCATATCATCCACCAATTTTTCGTCCTATTAAAAGATTAAATTTAGATAATGCTAAACAAGCTATTGTATTAAAATGCGTTGCTCAAGGCATTGGTGTATTTAGTCCTCATACTGCTAGTGATTCGTGTGTCGGTGGAGGTAAAAGGTTAAAAAAACGATGGTGTTTTTAGGATTTTTTAATTGTTTTTTAAATTTCTTCTCGTAGTTAATGATTGGCTGGCCAAAGGACTTGGGGCAGGAACTATAAAACCCATAGCTCCTGCTCAAAATCCACCTGAAGGTTTGTTCCATTTTCCTATACTTTTTTGTAACAATAAAATTCAAATATATGATCAACTAGGTCATGAGGAAGCCGGAACTGGTAGAATGTTCACTTTGGATCAACCAGCCCCACTCTCAACTATAATTGAAAGAGTAAAACAACATCTAAAGCTCCGATATGGTATGTTACTCATGTAATATATATTTTTATATAGCAAGGAACTTATGCTATTTTTTTTTAATTCTAAAGTTAGAGTAGCTACAACAAATAAACATTCATCTGGAGAATTGATTTCAACGATTGGAATATGTGCTGGTTCAGGTATGTCCATTATGATTCAATTTAGTTTTTGTAAATCATTATTTTAATAAAAAATGTTTAATAGGATCTTCAGTACTTTTGCCTGCAACAGCTGATTTATATTTTACAGGAGAAATGTCTCATCATGACATTCTTGCTGCATTAGATAAAAATACTAGTGTAATCTTATGTAAGTAACGTAATATTTTATACTAAATTTTTTATAATATAAAATGACTTTATTTTATTCAGGTGAGCATTCAAATACGGAAAGAGGATATCTTTCAGAAGTATTAAAGCCAAAGTTAGAACAATTATTAAAGGAAGGTAAGGAAGAAAAAATAGACGTAGTTGTAAGCAAAGTAGATAAAGATCCGTTGGAAACTGTATAAGCAAAAAATTGAAAAATTATACATATTTATAAATGCATGAAAGTAATTAGTTATTGATTAATTTAAATACAATCATATTTATTAAAAATGATAGTATTAAAAAGTTATCATACAATGGTAATACAGAAGTAAATAATAATAATAAAAACCAGAAAGAATGCAATATGCAAATTTTTGTATATGTGTAAGTAGGATATGTATTGAAAATTTTTTTTACAATGATAAATATTCAGTAATACAAATAATGTTATTCTGCATAAAAACACCTTTACATCCTTCTAGTATTACTCATCTTTTTTCTAATAACCTATTGGTAACCCAGTTTTTTTGCATTTGTACAGTCCACAATTTTTATAAAATTAATTTTTTCCTCTCTTTCTACCAAAAATAAAAAAAGAACGCGCGAAAGATGAAAAAAAAGGAAAAATGATTCACACTTTTTCTTCCTTTCAATTATTACTATTTATTGTTGTTGATGTGCCATTAGTGTTTGTGGCAGTGATGTTGTTAGAATTGTTGTTATTATTGGGAGAAGAAGCGTTGCTAGTGGAACTATTATTATTACTATCAACAGAATTAGCTTCTCGATGGATCAAACTTAATTTACCATTTGTCGCAACTGGAGTAATAGTCGTAGTAGCCGATGTAATCGAAGAGGTAGAAGATGGCAATTGGATTACACTTGTTACAGGAGATGAATTATTATTATGATTGTTGCCATTATTCTCTGATGCTATAGTAATATTATTAACGTTAACGATTGTAACGCTGCTGTTTGAAATTGGTGGCGTCCCGATCATTACATTTGGAGCATTCGGTGTGGCTATTCCGCTACCTAATCCATACAAGTAACCACTTGTTGATTGAAAAACAAAATATATGTTAAAAAATTTGAGAAAAAACAAAAAAAAAATTTGTAAAACTCACAGATATTTTGTGTCATCAATCTTATCATTGAAGAACGTTTGACGCATCTTAAAAAAAGTCGTTGCTGTCAAAAGGCTGTCACTACCGGCCTGATGCTGAGGACCAATTCGAGAAACCTAAAATTAAACTAAGTTCAATTCCGCATTCGACATAATTCGTAAATTTTGAAATTTAACAAAATATATAATTACCTGTAAATCGTCAGCAATATCTTGCAAACCGCCCTTCAAATTTTTAAAGCTTTTCATAAGATACTTTATGTCATATATACAAGGGAAATATGTTCTCAGCAGATCAAAAAATTCTGATTCTTCTGCCGGTAAAGGAGAACATGTGAGCACCTTTAATAGGTAGCCAAAATCATAACCACTGTAACAAATAAATATTAGTAAACATAAAATTTCTATAAAATAGTTTAAAGATTTTTTGCGTACCTGTGAAAAGATATCCACTTAACATCGTCCAGCAATACGAACCCAGAACTAATCAACAATTCACCAAAGTGTTCTACATCTATACCATAATCTTCATGTTTCTTAAAATCGATACCAGATTTTGTCAATAGGTCAATGGAATCTTGTGCATACATATCACCTCTTTTAAGTCATGTAAAACAAATTTGTCAATACTATTAAATATAATTATGGTCTACATCAATTTTTTTTCATTTCGCAATGAACACTAACCCTAGATTGAATTTAAAATTAAACTGCCATGTACAAGTATCTGGCGGTAAAGTTCCATTCTCGTCTGCAAATGTTATTCCTAACTGGATAATTTTCAGTAAATCGACATTACATCGAAGAGTTTGATAATGATAATCAGAACTTGTTCGAAAATTGCCAATAGGTCTAGCAACTACTCCAGGGAATTCTGTATCCTAAATACGATTAGAAAAAATTGCAAATTAAATTTGAGAAAATCATAATTTTAATAATTTACTAAAAAAAATTTATTCCTATTCATTATACATATAAAAACATATGTACATATATTATTTGTTATATAAAGTACTTAAAAAAACCCTGTACCATTGCTAGGAAAGGGTACTGTTCTACTCGATCTCGGAGAATAGCCATTTCCTCTTCAAGATTCTCAGCCCACACTTCTTTTATATACTTGCTCTCATTATTAATTGGCATTTTTTTAAAATGAAGTTGTGTGGTGAAGGAAGAGAGAATCGCGAAAAAGGCCAGAAAAAGGCCCAAAGAATAATCCCAATAAAAAAATGGAAAATAATTAAAAAGAGTTCTAGTCTAAACTTATGTGCGATGCAACTATCGAATTGCGATCTATGATCAGACGAAAATAAGAATAGTGAGATTGTAAAACGCGATAGTTTTTTTTATTATATATAAATATTACTATATTTTTTTGCCTTGTTTGGACTTTTGCATTTAAAATGTAGACGTTTCTATAAACTTCTCGTAAATCATTTGAATATCACATTTTCCACGTGCGATCATGGCATTACAGAGAATCTAATTTAACATTTCTACATTTTTAACTTATAAACCATGATAATTATTAAAATATTTTTAATAAAACTAAATCTATTTTCAAGAATGGATATAAAAAATTAAAATAAAATAAAATTTTGTTATTCTCTATCTATTTTTTTTTCCTGCTGAATTTATTAATAATAAAATTGTAATAAAGCCACACCAATGATTGTTTACATAACAAGATTGAGATTTTTACCAGAAGGGGAGGGGGAGGAATTTAACAAAAAAATGGCCAGAATTATTGTCAATTCTAGCCCGAATTAAATGTTATAATTTACACTTAAAAAATTATGGCCTAATTAGGAAATTTCTTCTAATTTTAATCTAAATTATATGTTAAAAAAGCTCTCCAAAAATTAAAAAAGGAAAAGGATGGGAGAAGTTATGTTAAACAAAGTATTGGATTTGAACAGTTTAATCTTAATATCCACTAAATATATTATATTATATTAAAAGAATATAAAAATATAGAATATTTTTTTTTTAATTTACTCTATAAAAAAATATATTAATAGCTTTATTAATTCTTAAAATATTTTAAATAAATACCATTTACCAGTTATAAAATTACTATTATTAAAATATAAAAATAAAACTAATAAAAAAAAGAAAAAAGTAAAAAAATTTATATAAAATTTGTTTTTATATAGTCAACCTTTTCTAAGTGTATTTTATATTTATTTTCTTTTTATTTAATTCTAACCTCTAATAAGTATATAAAAAATATATTTTTAAATGTATATTTTCTCTAAATATTTTTATTATAGTCCTAAAAAAAATATACTTAAAAAGAGTTTATCTAATTTAAAAAGTATAAATTATCTTAGTTTTATATTAAAAAAAAAATCAACTTAATTTATTCAAATTTAACTTAAATTAAATTGAATTTAAGTTTAATTTAAGCTTAATTTAGATAGTTTATTTATTTTTTATAAAAAAAAATTGATTATTTTGACCAAATAAATTAATGGATTTTAATATCTTTAATTTCTAATCTGCAAACCTGATTTTATTTAATAATTTAAAATAAACACTTTGCACACATTTAGTTAAAAAGTAGTACAGATCATTTTAAAGCATTAAATTTTATTTTTGTGAAGCATCAAAGTTTGTTGGCTACCAGAGTTAGAACGATCAGTATGATTGGAAATATGGCTTACATATTTTGCTTATAACTAATTATATTAAATATATTAATCTTGACATCCATTCATCAGACCTTTTGAATATTGCACCTAAGTTATTTAACTTAAAAAAACTGAAAAATTTGAAAAAATCAATAATTGCTTAAAATTAAATAGTTTTACAGGTTTTGAAGTTATTAAACCAAATGTAACTTTTATATATATATTAATATATTCATTAAAAAAAATTAATTGAAAAAATATGGATTTTTTTGTATGTAAATATAAAATTTGAGACTTCTATCTAGCTGATATTTTATAAGGCAAAAAAAAGTGACGTAAATTTATTAAAATATTGCCAAATTTTAATTAATTGGAATTTTTTGTAAAATTTTAAGTTTTATACTAGTATTAATATTAAATACTTTAATAAAAAAGATATAATCTCAAGGTTTTTCAATAAAAATTTTAAGTAATTTAATTAAAAATTAATTGACTTATTTATAGGAGAAATGCAATTTTTATATATATAAAAATTACATTAAACATTTAGCAGATTTTAAATTTGTAATAGTTTTTCTATCTATCACATGCAAATTAACAATTAAATTATTCAATTAAAATAATTAAAAAAAAAAAATTTTTTTTTATTTAAAAATATTAACATTTTATTTATTTTTTCTTTTTCTTTATATATAAACTTTTATCAAAACCTTTAAATAAAATTTTGAATTAATAAAACCATAAAGTAAATGTTTTTTAAAAATATATTTTTTTTTTTAATTAAAAATAATTTAATAAAAATTTATTTTTAAAATAATTTAACATTGAAAATATTTTTAATATTCTTTTTTTCTTTATTTATAGAAATTAGTTTAGACTTTTAGAGTGACAAGAAGAATTTGTTTTTAAAATTTTACATTAAAAATATTTATTAACATTTTTTTTCTCTTAATTTTTTGCAGATAAATATATTGGAAACTTAAAATAGTTTTTATAAAATTTAATATTAATAAGAATATTGTATTATTTAATTTTACTTAAATTAATTCAAATCAAATTAAATTTTAATTTGAATTTAAGTTTAATTTAATTTAAGTTATATATTAAAAAATTATTGATTTAAACTTGACTTAATTCAATTTATAATTTAATTTGAATTATCCAAAATATTAATTATATATTTTTATATAATACTAAAAGTTAATAAAATTAAGCCATTTACTAATAATTTTATTTCTTAAAATAAGTATTATTAAATTACTGATCAGATTTTTAAAAAATTATATAAAAAATTATAAATATATTTTACTTACTTTATAATGAAATAAATGGTTTAGCAAATTAGACTTTTATTATAAGAAAATTTATTAATATAATATAAAAATCCAGGAAAATTTTGTATATTATAGTAATTATATAATATTTGTATTATCCCTTAAACGGTTTTGCTGATAAATTTGTCTGCAATTTTTTAAAATAAATTTATATTCAAATATAAAGTTTGTCAATATGATTTGGATTATCCTATAATTCCGCAGCTATATTGATCTACATTTTTAGCATCAATTGTATAGTTTTGATATGTAGTTAATGACCGCTAATCACCAAAATTAGTCACAAATTAACTTCAAAAAAATAACATCAGAATTTTTATATAATAAATTAATTTTCTTTACTATAATATTCTATTTCATTATAAAGCATTTTAATATATTTTTTATTTTTATTATAAAACTTCACACTCTAATGAACAAAATAGAGATGATAAAATTTAACTTTATGCATTTTTTACAAGTTCACAAAAATAATTCATTTTTTAGGGTTCTATGTAAAGTCAAAATGCCACTTCTAAACATTAAAAATTATCATAATATAAGTTGTTCATCATAGAAATTTCTACATATTCTATTAAGCTTTAATATAGCTGCAATCAAATTCCAATGAGATTGTTAAAGTTAAATGCAAAATTTTTTGAAATTTTTTGTCATTTAAAAAATACAACTTTTGACCAATGGTCAATCTTCAATCTTATAATATGTAATTAATAAATAATGATTATTATCACATAAATTATGATTTAAGCTCTTTACAAAAAAAATTTTATTAAAATAACTTCATTTTTCATAAAATTAGATGAGAACTGAATTTTTAGTAAAATTGCAGGCAAATTTGCCTGCAATGTTTTACTATTTAAGGGATATATATTAAATAAAAATTTATTATAATAAAAGTTATTTTATATTTAATTAATATTTTATATACATTTTATTTTGTTAATAATATACAGTATTTTATTAAAATCCAACCAATTATAAATTATAATTAGTGTTACGATCTGACAATCTGACAATCTGTCAATCTACAAATTTATCTAATTCAAAAATCATCCAGATCATCTGGATCATTCATTCAGACCAATCCATTATTCGTTATCTCTATGTTTTAACGGATTAAATCTGAATCATTCTGATTTTTCATATAACTTTTTTTATCTAGATTAAATCAAATTTTCATTCAGATCATTTATTTATTTTCAAACTGGATTAAACGGATGATAGATTCATCTGGATCATAACACTAATTATAATTAAAGTTATATTTCCTATATTAAGAATTTTTAAAATTTTATTATTACCATTTTAAATTTATTTTAAAAGATATAAATGTAAAATTTTAATAAAATGGGCGTTTTGCAGTAAAAAGGGACAAACCTACTAAAAAAAATAAAAAATGAATTAATATAAAATCTAAACAAATTATAGCATTTAGAATATTTTTAGTATATAAAAGAAAATTTGATTTTTTTTAGTAGTTTTATCCTTTTCTACTGCAAAGTGTCCAAATAGTTGGTTTTCTACTATTTATAACTTTATAATTTAAAAAGTAATATTTAATAATGTAGTTTTTTATTTTTTTTAAATATTTTTATGTATACCAATAGTAGAAAAAGTGTATTTTTTGCCAAATTTTACATTATTACACAACTTTTAATCAGTAAATTTGCATAATTTTAGTATCAAAAGATTCTTTTTTTTTAAAAAAAAATATTTTTTTTCTAAATTATTTTATAATATTAATTTAATAAAATTGTAAGATAAAATAATACATAAAGTTTAAAATATAGTTGGATGTGATTTTAACTATTATTATCTGAAATCTATTTTACTATGCTGGCCATTACCTATAAATCACACTAATATTATGTAACTTCAAATTTTTATAAATTGTAAATTGAATAGTAAAAAAAAAAACTCAACTGATAAAAATGGAAATTTTTAAAGAATCCAAATATTAATTACTGGTTGTACTCTTTGTAACATAAATAAAATTAAATGTATAAGCTCAGCTATATATTCCAAAAAGAAAGAAATGTATTATTTACATTAAGATTGTATCAGTTTCTGGTTCTGACTATTTCTAATTTATGTCATATCCTCTTTAGAAAAACAGAACACTCAGAAACTTTTTAAAAGGGTAAAATTATCAATAAACTGCAATAGCAAAAGATTAAAAAGTCTAAACTTACATTGAAAAAAATAATTTCAACTGTTATGACTAGATATACATCACAAGATAAAGCTAATGTCTGTGAAATAGTTGTTTATGATATTCTCTTCACTATGATGCAACTTGAAATTCTAACAAACCTAAGAAAATAAGATTAAATTATTACATTTAAATTAAAAATGCAATAGAAATATTTGATAGTAATTATATCTATAAATCAATGAGTAGGTTTTGCTGAATTAGAATAATAGAATTTGGATTGCTTCATTAGAAGGAATGTCTGTATGATAGTTTTCTGTTTTCTGGACTTTGAAGTAGTATAAAGAATGCAAGAAATTTTAGGCTGTAATAATAGACGTACCCAAATCTATTACTAATAAGTAATGATGTTATTTATAATACAAAAAATTCTGTCTAATTTATGCTATTGCAATTAGATGATACATTAGTATTCAAGATTATATAAGACCGTAGATATAAGAAATTGATTATGTATTTTGACACCTAGTTTGAATAAAACACTCAATACAGAATTCAACTTTGAAGAATTTAAAGATATTTGGACTTGATATTTTTGCTTACTTTAAACTGGTCTAGAAATAAACTACTAAAAAAAACAGATTCTTTTCAAAAGTAGAATAAAGATAAGAATCTAAATGTTTTGTAAAAGAATATTAATAAATAGTAATAGAAGGGAAAATTTTAGAAAAAATGAAGCAATCTACTTTGAAAAATAAAGGTTTCGATAGCAATAATAAACTTATAATTTTAGCTGAAATTAGGTATTACTTAGATTATTACTAGCTAACTGATAGGAGGACTAAACCAAATAGGAGTTTTTGGAATGTTAAAGCGCTTGCTATTTAGTTCAATATATATTTAATAAACCTTTTTTTATCCTGATATTTTTTACTTTAAAATCCTTTTTTTTTTATTATTTACAGTAGGTTTTGTTAATTTTTTTTAAAATATAGACTGAAAAAAGAGGGTTTCCTTTAAAAAAGAACAGTTATACACTAGGTTTGCTCTTATATCAAAATTTACTTGACAGTATATATATGAGATCCATTTTTTCGATGATGAGTGGTTTATTAGTTAAAAAATTAGAATAATTTTATATCGTATTATTATATATATTGTACAGTCAACTCTCTTTATAGTCACATATTTAAGACAGTCCATATTTGGTGATTATAAAGAGATGTGATTATATAAAAAATTTCTTATATTAGCATATCATAATTCCAGCCAAAAATTAATATAATTTTGGCCAGAATTATACTTAAAACTTTATTGTATCGTAACTCTGCCGATATTAATCATAGAGAGATGATCTTACCGCCATTCGATTTGTCTAGATAAGACGGTTCTAATGGTATAAAATACATCGAAATCTAATCACTAGATTAATTTCTGAAATTAAAAAAATATTAATGGTTTTTGTATAATAACTCTGCCAATATTGGTCCTAAAAAGACGATCTTACTACCCTTCGATTCATCTTGATGAGACAAATCTAATGGTATAAGATACATTGAAATCTAATCACTAGATCAATTTCCAAAATTAAAAAATATTAAATGGGTTTTAAGTAGTAACTCTGTCAATATTGATCACAGAACCATCATTCGATTTGTCTTGATGAGACAATTCTAACAAGCTATTAATTGTCCTTTTACAATCACTAGGTATTAAGAAATTTAGCAAAATGTTAAATGGCGCAGTAAACGTAAATCAAAAAATATTATAATGCTGATGTTAAACATTTTGTTGAATAACTCATCAGCCAGTGCCCAGTGATCGTAAAAGAATAAAACTACTACCATTCAATTCATCTCAATAAGCCGATTTTAACAAGCTATGGTACATTTTTGTATGATTATTAGATGCCAAGTTATTTAATATATTTTTTATATAATTGTGATTATAAACGGTTTTTTTTAATATAAGATTTTTGAGGATAGGTGTAATAGTGGCTATAGATAGATTGTGACTATATAGGATAGATTTTAATAATAAAGTATTTTCTGGTATGACTATATAGTAGAATGTGACTATAATTGAAGTGACTATAAAGGGTATTGACTGTATTAATTTAAATTTTTTAATAAACTACTGAATGTACTACAACAAAATATATATATATATATATAATATAATAAGATAAATTTATATAAATAGTCATAAACTTATATAATATTTTTAAACTTTAAAAATTTTAATTATTTAAAAAAAAATTTTATATGAAATTATAAATAAATATTTGTTTTTATAATAAAAATTTTGGATTTTATTATAAAGTTTTTATAATATAATTTACCATTATATATATATATATATTATATAAAAAATAATATAAAAATTTATAATTATAAAACTCATGGTGTAGACTGGAAGAAGGGGGTTCCTCTAAGAAAGGACGTTTACAAGGCGGACTTACTCCCCTAGCCTAAGTCCTTTACTGACAGTGCATATATGGTTGCTTCATAGAAGTTAGTAGGTGATGTAGTTCTTTACTAAATTAGGATTTATATTAGTTCTACGTGTATTGTATCAACTTATTTTTTAAAAAATCTTAATAAAGATCTATATGTACTGCAGCAAAAAAAAAAAAATAATTATAAAAATTAGATTTATAAAAGTTTTTTACTTCAAATCACTAAAGATGATCATCATTATTGGATAGAATTATCAATTTTACCAGCACTATATTTTTTTAATGCTGGTCGATCATCATAATTTCAGTTACCAGTGCTGGTAATAGTTAGAAATAATAAATTTATATATTATATAAATGCCATTTGAAAAATGAATTTATTTATTCAATTAAAAGATGTGTATATTAAAATAAATTAAAAAATATTATATTTATTATTAATGCTTTTTGCTAAATACATCAGCTGATTGGATAAATTGCTATTAAAGAAATATTTTATGTTTATATATAATTTATTTTCTAATACATCACTGCTTTTATTTGTTATTAAAGACTTTTTTTTAAAAAAAAACCAATAACTTTAATATTAATATATCTGAAATGGTTTTTGCACTTTTAATTGCTTTTTATATTCATATTATATAGCTGATAATCTAATATAATCAAAAAAAATAAACTTAATAATATATGAATTAAATAATAAATTGATGAATTTTAATTCAAGAAGGAAGATCTTTTAATAATAAATATTATTTAATTTTTTTATTTTAAAAAATATACATCATAATAAACAAGTATAAATTATGCATCCACAAGTTAAATAAATATGATTTGATAAATTTTTTCTTTGTAACTTCAGTGGATTTAACACAACAAACATTATTATTCACCCTGTTCTTCATCTTTTGGTCTTTGTTTTAGAATAAGATCTTGACCAGTAATTCGCTTATAGATACTCTTAACATCTTCGCAAACAGTTCCAAAATGTGATGTGGCATCATAAGAACGAGAGATAAAGACTTGGTCTTTGGAACCATCTTCAATAGGTTCCTCAAGATCTGTTACGTTGATAACTCTAATTTCAAATTTTTATATATTAGTGTCTCAAAAATTAAAGAATAATATAAATATATCACAGTATTAGAAAATAACTATTTACTTCTCTACACATGGACCAAGTAAATCAAGACCAGGTTTAATTTCCGCTTCTGGATTATCTGATTCAACAATAGTTGAAACAATAGCAAGGTAATAGTTCTTGGCGCACACATTATGAGTGCCAGAAACACTTGCAATGTAAATATCTAAAAAAAAGGTAGTAAATAATAAAATAATAACTAATACAAATACACATACAAAATTACTAATAACGTACCATGTTTTCTGCCGACTTGATTTTGAGGGATAACTAATTGAATGGAATCTGCGTCGTCGGTATTAGGTATAGGATGATTAAGTAAACAAATAGCTCGAACGACTTTTCCGATTTTACGAACTTTGTCAGGGAAATAGGATGGATCACCAATAACTTGTTTTGTTGCGGCAGTCTTTATATAAAATTACAATTAGGAATGTTAATACTTGATAAGATATTAATAAGATAAAAATTTTTTAATTACCTCATCACCGGAACGAACCCCGCAAACTTTACCATTCGCATCGTAAACGATTTCATCGACACGTTTATCTAGCATATAAGTACCTCCATAAATAGCACTCAACCTGTTACAAATTTATGAAACAGCGATTTTATAAATAATTATTCGATATAGTGACAATTAGAAATTTAAAATAATTGCACATAATAATATATACCTTGCAAAACCTTGAGGCAATTCGCCCAATCCATATAATGGATAAATATAGGGACTTTTTCCATAACGAGCAACAGAAGTGATATATAAAATAATTCTATTATAACTCTCTCGAGCAGGACGAGTAAGATAACTATAATAAAATTTTATATAAAAAATTAGTATAATTAGAAAAAAATGTGAGGAATGATATCAAGGGTTATTGTAATTTCACATACGAGTCATCCAAGTATAAAGCCATGGCATGACCAATGAAATCTTGAGTACCAGGTTCAAGTCCAAACTTTTCATAGACTGCTGACATTGGAATATTATTGATATCGAGACCTGTGATCAAAATTAAAAGATTTTTTTTTTTTTAGAGATAAATGTATTTTAACACGAACATATTCAAGATAGATGGTTACCTTGATGAGTACTTGGATCATCTTCACGCCAGTTTTGCATGTATTCAAAGAATTTCTTTGCTCTTCTTTTTTCAAACAATCCCATCAATGGACTACGCACAGCTTCCATTTCGCTTGCAGGTACTTTAGAAATCTTACCATCTCGATATACAAACGAACCGGCTATTTGTTTAAACTCGAGATATTTTGTCACATCGGTGTGAGTAAGGATCCTTACAAGTTCACCATTTGCCATCATGAATTTTGGTATCAGATCAATATTATAATCACGATCTTTACCTAATTCACTTGGAGGTTCTCCTCCAGAGCGAAATTTTCTATAGAGCTAATTAAAAACATTATATAGAAATTATATATATTTAATATCTTAATATGTTAAATAATTTAATTAAGGAAATAATCAATTAAACTATTAAGTATATTATAAGGATCGCTTATATATGTGCATGAATTCTATTAATTACGTATTTTTGTTTTTATTTTTTTTTTTAAAAAAAAAGAATTTTTGAAAAACAAGAATAGAGTGGATGATGACTCTTATTGAGCTGAGTTATCAAAGTCGACAGCTCACCTGTGTTAAATTCAAACTAGCACTTTCACCACCATAATAGTCGTTTCTGTCTATGTGAAGGACCTTTTTTCCTTCAACAGACAATAAACCCGAGAGAATACACTCAGTTAAACCTGTACCGAGAACGATGACATCATATTGCTCATCCTGCAGGATTGTAATTTGAAATTGGTAAATTTTTGAAAAAAAAGCATTAAATCAAAATTAAGCGAACTATCAAAATTCTTTTTTCTTAATATTTTGAGAAGTTTAATGTCTACCATTTTAATTTAAAAAATACGGAAATGTAAATCTGAAGAGAAGAGATAAGTAGAAGGATCAATGAAATGATAAAGTTCAAAAATTCAGAGTGATTGATTAGAATCGTTTTAAGATGTTGTCTGTTAATATTTAACATTTATTGTGTGACGTTATACTGATGTGTTGATGCAGGGGCGTTCTCGGTGGTTAATTACACGGTCAAACACGGTCAATCACGGTCAATCACCATAAAAATAATAACGCGTATGCTGATTCAAACATATTTCAAAGATTCAAAGATTCCTAAACTCTTTGCCACAACCAACTAACCAAACCATTTGCGCGACATCCGTCAAATCGGCAGTGCTGAAATTTCACAATCACGTGACAATTATCCAATCAATGGATTTCACATGATAATGAATAAAATCTCAGTATTTTGTAATGGTTATTATTCTTTTTTATTATTAATTTATTCAATTCTATTTTTTTTTTATTGTACCCATTTTGATTTGAAATAAAAACGCGTTGTTTTGTATATTAAATATAAATATATTGTGTAATAAAGATATCATAGACCATCGAATTTCGAAAAGATTTTTTTTACAGTATAATATTAAATTTTTATAATAATTTAAAAAGAATCATGAGAAACATTTTATATAAACGTTTGTGTGAAGGGTCTCATGAAAAAGTAGTTGTTGAGATAAGATCGGTCAAAAAAAAAAGCCAGAGGCCTGATACAATAATTAACTACTTGGGCATTGATATTTCTTAGTTGATCATCGAACAATAAGTGATTTGACATCCCGATCACCTGCATGACTACATATTTAGAAAGGTTTCATCATTAAATGTAGAAATTTTTCAAGCTTGAATCTAATTACATGTAATGTGGAATATTCTCTCTTACACAATTAGATGTTTAAAGAAATATTATCAAACAACCTCAATACTTCAATACTTTATAATTTTACTGATTACTTTATAATTTGTTTGATGCAACTAAAGGTGATGCAACCTGCAATGTTGGATTTGAACAATTTTCAATTAATGCATTTAAATGTCTGCGGCTGTTTATTTCACCCAATTAGACATACTGTACAGTCAACCCTTGTTATAACAAACCCTAGGTTCCAGACCTCAACTTCGCTATAGGGCTATAGTGAAGATTTTAAGAGATTTGATTGGTTAATTCATTATAGCAAGGGGAAATTTATTATAGTTGTCTGAAAAATTCATTATATTAAGGGTTCGCTATATCAAGGTTTGACTGTATATTCAATTGGATGTCCAATTGGGAACTAACTTATTAATTATAACTGGATCTGGCACATACATACAACATGGTGACAATTAATTTCAAATCAAATATTAAATATTCGACAAACAAAACTTGTTTTAAAGTTAACCCATACAGTAATTGTATATACAAAATAAAACAAATATTAATACAGTATATATATATATATTAAACTACTATTTATTCTATTTATTTCATTATAATAAAAACCTTTAATTTTTTTGACTTAATTGCTGGTAATTAAACCTAAAACGTTTAGCATATCTAAAAATTCGCGAAATTCGAAATTAAAATCATTTTGGTAAGTTTTATCATTAAAATCAATAATTTTAATCCGAATATTGCGTTATATATCCGTATTTCTGTAAAACTAAGCAAGTCAAAAGTTATAAATTATACGAATATGCTACTTTACGGAAATAATGTAATATTGATCATATTAAAACATTGGCGACACGTTAATATGATCATTTCCCTAATAAATGACTAATATTTTCCGTTTTTTTTTGTAATAATCCTGTTAATGCAATATCTTTTAAAAGAGTGATTTTTTGCTAAATGTTTATACTATATCATCTATTATTGCTGAGTACCATTAAATTAAAAAATAACCGGAATTTATTCATTAATTTCCAATAATTCAAGATTTAATTTATACAGAGAATGAAAATAATTATTATTACATATACAATGAAGAAATATAAATATTAGGCCAAAGGATTGCTAAAGCGGCATTTATGGTTAAGGCATCAAAAAGACAAATATCGCGCTTATCGTACATCCGTACACCAAATTTGGTGTACCGAAGTCACGTGCATCAGACATATATAAAATCCAGGCGGTTATTATTTTTATTATTGTCCCAAAATTTTTTTTTTAAAATCGAATCTTCATAAAAATGCCACCGCGTTTAATATTGCCTTGTTATATTCGTAATACTGTTACTAATAATATATTTATTCGACGAAATTATTTACCGAATTTTGCTCAAGTATTGCATCAACAAATAGCCCATTATAAATCGGGTCCTGGTAAAATTCGTGACGGCGACCCTTTAATTGGTGATTATCCTAATTTACCTTTTGAATCACGTTTAAATAGACCTGCTCTTGGTTGGGAGGATCAACAAAATCGAGTAAATTTAAATGAAACTGTAAGTGATGTTTCGTGAGACTGCTTTAATTAGAATTGCATTCCACACTTTTTTTTTGTCCACTTTACTTTCACTTGTTACTTTCAATTAAAAGTAAAACTAATCTAATTAAGCTTAATATACTTTTTATTATAAATATTTTAATTTAAAGTTACATGAAGAAGAAGAAGCTTTAAGCGTGTGGAGTTTTGATCTTTATAATTATAAAACTTCTACTGCATTAAAAAGTCTCGGTATTTTTTTTGGTAGTGTTGGACTATTTACTATCTTTTTGGCAAAAACTATGCCGGAAGCTCCTATGGTCAGTTTATTCAAAATTTTCCTATTTATTTAACAAAAAAAAAATAATCCTAAAATAAGACTGCATGACAAAAAAATTATTCATAGGAAAAGAAAACCTATCCTTATGAAGGTTTGCGTGTTGAATTAGGTAGTGATCCATTTAATCCGGAAGACAAAACTCGTGTTGTATGTCTATGTTTAATTTAATATTTTTTTTTTTGATATTCGTTTACCTATAATTAAATTTTAATTATATTTGTCGTTTTTTCTTTTGTCAGGCACGTAGTGAATAAATAAATAGACGAGCTGTAAGAAAAAAAAAGTTCTTGTACATAGTATTTAATCAGATTAACAATATTGTAATATTAGCCAAAAATTCAAGGTCTATAATAAATATTTTTGCTAAACACAGAAATCAACACATTTTTATTATCTAGAAAAGAATAGAATTGAGGTGTGAATTAAGGGATTTTTTCCTGTTATCTTTATACATTATCTGGTTAAAAATTGTTCTTTAATCATACTATTTAAATTTACTCTTCACCTTTATATTTAACCTGTTTTACGGTGACTTTGATTCCCCGTTTTACCATGGGTGTTAAACTGCTATTAGCATTAAGGACATTACCGAGTGAATCTATGGGTGTGTTCTAATATAATCAAATTATGAGTTAATTGTTTACATTAGATTTAATTTCAAATATCTGTAAAAGGGTAGTGACATATATTAATATCTTATACGGTCACACATCTACAAAGATTGGATGCACGTGATCTCAAATATTTTACTTATGAGAAAATAATATTAGATATATCATACCCTTAGTAAAGGGATACATACCATTTGTTTTAAGCACGGTTTAGGAATAGGTTTTTGTCTTGCTGTTCTAGGAGATGACTTTATAAAAGGAGACGATTCTTGTACTAATCTACTTTCATTCCAATGAACTCCTTTACTAGAAGATTCACCTCGATTTTGTCGATCGCCACGTGATTTCAGGACAGGTATACATGAACCTATATTGTCCTTTCCTATATTATTACGTGATCTTAAAGCGGAGATAATCCCTCCTCCATTTTTCGTTTTTTCGTAAAGTTTTGAAGTGGGACTTGGTGGTTTTGGAATGTTCTTTCTTACTACTACTACATTAAGATCACAAAGATATCCTTTATTCTTATCTGTATTTTGTTTAGTTAATCGATTAAGTGCCGTGCTGTTTAATTTATTAGGTATTTTCTTTTTATGTAACAATTTATCTGAATTCATTCCCAAGCTATTTTCATTGTCTTCATCAACATCTTGTACTTGCTTATCCTGAATGATACTATTACGTAGCATTGATTTCTTTTTGCGTACTTCTAAAAGTAGCCGTTTCTTTTCATCTAAGCTCATCGAACTTGTGGAGTCCTATAAAATGTCATTATTGGTTTAATTTGTCGACTCTAATAATTAATAAAAAAAAAACATACCTTTAAGTTGAGTGAAGCAACCATGCTTCTAGTTATTATTGTCGAGGGAGATATACTTAATTGCTGTCCACTTTGAGGAGATGTGGGCGGTAAAATTTCACATTTGATAGGTTCTGTTATCGATTCGTTCGAATACGACTCCTCTTCAGAAGTGATAGCATTTTCAGTATCTTCTATTAATTGTTCATCAGTTGACGGTCGGTTCGTACTCTGTTCATCATCAATAGATGAATATTCTTTTTCTGTCTTATTTTTGATTTGCTCACATGAAGGCGATAAAGACAAAATATTATCGTCCGCTAAAACAACCTCATCATCAGTAACGGTATGTTCAAATGATTGTAAATCGCTCGAAAATTTTCCGTCGTCGGAAATATTATTTTTATTATCTGAATTTTGATCACTATCAGAAAGACTCTGAGGTAATGTCTGTTCTATAAATTCCGGTTGTTTCTTCGTAAGTAAGTTTGCATAGGATTCCTTAAATAAGACATTGTCATCAGAAAATTGACGGCTCTGGAAATTGTTATTATTATTTAACATATTGTTTTCATTTTCATTTATAGTCTTCTCATCAGTATCCATAACGATATTGGTGGATACGACCATGTTCTTGTCGCGTATTTGTTCAAATCCATCGTGTATTTCCGGAATCATCATACTTGAATCACTTGGTACGATCAGATTATCTTGACAATGTATACTTTCTTGCTCGCATTTAAAATCTTTTTTAAGTTGTTCCGGAATAAACTGAAGATTCGGTAAACCATCAGAATCATCTTGGTTCTCTTGACAAATAATATCTTTTATTCTAATTTGATTACCATTTATTGGTACCGCCGCAACTTCCTTGAAAATGTCCATAAAGTGTTTTTTATTAATAAAGGATTGAAATCCCAAGATTACTTTAAAATCAGAATCATTTATTCCATCCCAAACCTGTGCATTTATATCAGATAATGACACATTAGGTATTTCTCCATTCGCTAGAATTGGTGAAGCATCAATATCTGCAATGGCAAGATCAGCAAGAAGAAGGAGGGCACTTGCTTGTAGATCATTTGAATCTTCGTTACTCGTATTCTTATCACTGAAACTTGTCAAACGATCTGAGTTTTCAAATGCGGGCTCTCGTGTTACTTGTTCATTAGAAATACTACCTCTTTCAATTATGCTATTGTCTGATAAATTGTTATTGGGCTCATTTGTAATCTCGTGAATTGATGTCACGTGGTTCAACGAAACAAGTGATACTTCAATTGCATTCGCATCTGAAGATGTTATAATATTCGTACTTTCTCCTTCCATGGCTTTGAAAGGGCCATTTTGCTGTATATTCACAGCATCATCAATGTGTGTACTTATAATGTCACCAAAACTAGTAAAAGCATAATTTTCTTTTTCATTCATTAAGTTAGATGAAATTTCGACATCATCCGAAATTTCCTTTTTCACAAAATATTCATTGTCGTTCGTGGATATGTCCGAAAAATAATCTGTATAGATAACTTCCTTCCCGTCTTCATTTTGTAACAAATGTTCTATGCTCATTTTGTTGACAATAACCGCATAAGCGTTATCAGCGTCATCATTGATTTCAACTTTCGCGTCATATTTAGAGTTACGACGAGTTGAATTTTCATCATTTATGAAATTTAAAAGATTCATGGATAAATTATGTTGGTCGTTATTAACAGATACGATTTCACCTGAACCATTTTGTTCTAAATTCATTCGTTCAAAGTCCACAGACATATCTGGTGCGAAAAAGAAATCTATATGTGTCATAATTTCCTTTATATTATAAATTATTTTATGTGTACAAGACGAAATTGGTATTGAAACGAGGTAGAGATTGAACAAAAATTCTAAAAATATATACCGAGTTGTGAATCACGTGATATATATAAATGTACAAACAAATAGACGCGTGTGATGTCAGTATCCAGAGATCAGCTCATAGTGAACAAAATAAGAAAAAATGTAGTATCAGTGCAGCGTAACACTTGCCGTTTATAAATACTGTATATCTTTAGTTTTCGAAATTCCAGTTTTTTATCATATCTTAATTTTTAATTCTGTCAAAATGCGAAAGCGTGGCGCTGGCGTATCTCAAATAAGAAGGCAACAACGTGCCAATGTAAAGTAGTTATAAACACTAGTTTCATTTATTTTAGGTTTATTTCGGTTTCTTGTTCACATACATCTTCTAATAACAGGATCAATATCGTGAGATCGGAAACAATTTTGCGGATCGACAAATGGAACAGGTACTCTTTTCTATATTGAGTTCAAAATATAAATAATTTTATTATTAATAGTTTTTATATTATAGATGAAATCTCAGTTGCAAGTCTTTAAATCAAATTTAGTGGAATTCTCTCGTAAATACCGTAAGAGCATTCGTAAGGATCCCGTGTTCAGACAACATTTTCAGACGATGTGCAGTACAATTGGCGTAGATCCGCTCGCATGTAACCTATATTCTTAATTTATATTTTATTTTTGTTTTTTTTGGAAATATTAATAATAGAGAAAATTGATTACAGCAAATAAGGGCTTCTGGTCTGAACTCTTGGGGGTTGGAGATTTTTACTATGAACTTGGTATACAAATCATTGGTGTATGTTTATCTACGAGAGGTAGAAATGGTGGATTAGTTGAATTGGGAGAATTAAAGCGTCAGTTGACTAAAATGCGAAGTGGAGGTAGTTCTGCACAAGAAATTAGTGAGTAAGTCCTTAAAAGATTATTAACTATATGGAAAGTTGCTTTAAAGAATTTACTTCCATCTTTTCGAAACAATTTTAAAATTTGATGAATCCAAAACATTTTTTAATTAGCGATGACATCATACGTTCTATAAAAACACTCAAGCCATTGGGTAATGGATTTGAAATATTACCAATTGGTGATCGTAAAATGGTTAGATCTGTACCCCGTGAACTGAATAAAGATCAAACGGACATATTGGTCTTGGCTCAAGTATTTATAGACTGCTGAAATCTCTATTTTTTTACATGTTGTTAACTTTCTCTTGTTTTGACTTTCTAGGAACGAGGTTATGTTACAAAAGAGTTGTTAAGTGCTGAATTTGGTTGGGGAAATGAACGTATCAATGATGCAATTGTAAGCCAGGAATTAATTTAGTATTTCTTTTTCTTCAGATTTAGTTAATCATTGTATCTCATTCTCTTTGATTCATTTAACAGGACACATTGCTTGTTGATGGCCTTTGCTGGATTGACGAACAAGTACATCCGCCGGAATATTGGGTGCCTAGTTTCTTCAAAGGCGTAGATGATTAATAGATAAATTCATATTTAGATAGAAAATTAAATTTAATTCAATTTATTTAATTGGCAAAAACGTTAAGCTTTCAATCAGTCGTTTTTATTGCGAAAATATAATGCTCTTATTATTCAAATATGACAGTGCCGCCAAGACCTTCCAGAGTCTTTTTAATCTTTTCTGCTTCTTCTTTATTTACTTTTTCCTTTATAACCTTTGGAACACTTTCGACAAATTTTTTAGCCTATATAATAGATATAATAGTTAAATATTATTTAAAAAGCATAAATAAACCATTAATGCATTACCTCCACGAGATTTGTTCCAGGCATAAGATTTTTAATTTCACGAATTATTTTTGTTTTGGCTGCTGCATCATATTTTTCTAGTTTGACAGTAAACTCAGTTTTCTCCGGAGCTTTTTCTTCCTAAAAGAATTTTGTAAAATTTAAGTAACAGCTAACCAATTCACAATTTTCTCTGAATCTGAAGCAATCGTTAAATAAACTTACTTCAATATGATCGGAAGCTGCAGGTGCAGTAGCTGGATTAGCTGACGCAGCCACGTTAACAGCTGGCAGTACAACATCATGAATATTCAAACGGGTCTTATTCCAATAATGTTGAAAATATCAAACTTATTAAGATTTTGATCGAGTCATGAACTTCAAATTAAATTGTTACCTTTAATAATTGTACTAGCTCTGAAGTTTCAATTAAAGTTAACGATGCGATTTGATCCACAAGACTGGCAATACGCGGATTAACTGCAGCATCTTTTCCAGGTGCAGGCATTCTTTCTTTTGAGTCAGCTTCTGTCGCATATTGAGCAACACGCTGATATTTCAAAGATTGAATAAATAACACGGGCGATGTTCTTCTAGATAAGAATAAAAAAGGTCAAGAATTACATTTACAATTGTATTTAAAAATATAATAATTTCATCATATTAACTCACCGAAGTATAACTCTATTTGATAAAGATAACGCAACAAGGGTATAATTAATACAACGTGACTAAATTTCGGGTATTCAAATTCAAAGAATACGTTGTTTGTAATTCAATTTGATAAGTTTTTAATCATTTCTTTAAACAGAATCGGTTTTAAATTACCATTGGAAGTTTTCAAAAAAAAATGCGAGGAACTTAAACGAAATAGAAAATTCATTGGACAACTAAAAAAGTGCAGATTATCTTGAAAAAGTAAACATGTGATTGATAAATTATTGTGGTTCATTAACCAATCAACGTGATCCTAAAAATCTAATTTTTTTAAATTAACCCTTTGTTTATTCGATTAAAATTAAACCATCCATAATAATCTCTAGAATATAAGTAAGTATCAGTTTGTGCAGATAATATTATTTAATTCAAACAAATTCTACCTGTTAACAAAAAAAAAAAAATTTCAATTTATCCTTTTAGAAAATGTCGGCTGATTTAACTTGGTAAATTAAGAGAATTTGATTAACTATACAAATCTTAAAAATATAATTAATTAAATGATTCGTTTGATTAAATATTTAGGCTTCTTGTCAGGAACAACAGTTCGTTCCTGGTAAAACGTAATGGATTAGAACTTAGTTCTGAACCGAATAATTTGACAAATTTGAATTCATTCAAATATTCGGGTCTTGCAAATAAGAAGGTTGTTTTCTTTTAACTTCATTATTTCTTATAATTTTATAAAAAGATTAAAATTTATTTTCTTAGGCAATTGGAATAACACCTGGACCAAGTAATAGGGGTGTGACCGTTGTTGCAAAAAAAACCAATATAGCTTCTTATAAACCAGCAAAAGCTATCAATAAAGTTACACTTACTAAGGGCGTTCGAAGATCAGCCAAAAGTTTTACTAGTCTGCTTACTAAATCTCATTATCGTCCTGATTTACGAAAGGTAAGATTTTGTTTATATTCTATATATAATATTGCAATATTGCTAGAACCCGCTTAAATTTTATTATTCATTTCTTTGAAAGAAGGGTGTAAATTCAATTGCTATAATGAACCAAGGATAAATAATAGTCTTTTTGAACCTTATATATTTCAAACTTTGACAGATTTATTAATTTATTCACATTTCATATATATATTAGGCTGCATTAGCTCGTATCTCTGCCATTTATCAATCTCAAAAACCCCCTAAGGTCCATGCAAAAAAAACTGGTCGCCGTCATACCAAGAAACCAAAAAATTAAATATTAATCATGATGCATTAGGAAAAAAATTTTGTTGGTCGATAAGATCAAAAGATTATAGTATAATGTTCTTAATGTTACTTACTGAATAAATCAGCAATTTCTTTTTATACAAAAAAAGAATAAAAGAATAATTGCACTCTTTTTAACTTCTCCTAAGCTGAGAAAATTAATTATTTTAAACCATTTATTTAAGAAGAAAAACTCATTTCATTATTAAATTTAAGTAATCTAAATTAAGAAATGAAAATAACTGACACTCAAATAAATACATCAGGAAATTATTTAGGCATAAATTAGCATAATACTTCATAAGTGGTGTAAAACTTTGAAATACATTTTATAAATTTTTACTCTAGAATTTAAGTAAAATTTTCAAAATCCCATAAATCAGTCCTATTGACATGGTTTTACTCCCATTTACTCCATTTCAATGAGAAGATTATTATTCTAAAATGTTAAGTTTGATCTTCTTTTGACGAGACAAATCTAAGAAGCATCAATTTTGGATTACTGGTTAAACTCATTCAAAAAGAAATATGTAAGTTTGTGAATAATGGTATTACTTTGGCCTATGGCAAACTTTATTTATAATTATTAAGTTAAAAATTTATTATTAATATATATAGTTTGAACCTATAGCTATTTAAAAATAGATGATGATTTTAGCAGGCAATTATGCCCGCAAAGTTCTACAAACTAAGATATAATGTTGATATAAAGAGAAGATATTATAACTAAATAAAAATTTTTAACATTAATCATCACTAACATCACTTGGTGAACCATCATCAGAGTCTTCCTGAGCAATATCACTTGCATCCTAAAAGAAAAAAAATATTATAATTTATTATAAGATTAAGTACTGTTATTCAAATTAAAAAAAAAAATTGGTTTGGATATACAAACCACTTGTAAAGCTAATGCAGCTTTTTGAAGTAAATTTTTTAATTCTTGATTTCCTGAATCAACTAATTGTTGGGGTTTTTGTTTATTTTTATTTTGTTTACTTTAATAAATAAAAAAAGATTAAATTGATATATTAAAAATAATAAAATGAATTTTTAAACTTACGTTGGGTCGGCCCCATGCTTAATCAATAGTTTTGCTATAAGATGAAATCATATTTTATTTATTTTATTTAAGTTGATAAAAATTTTAAAGTACTTTTTCAAAAATTACCTATTTCTAAGGCTACAGAAGGATCATCTTTATATTGTACAGCCTTATGAAGTGGTGTATCAAGTTCCAACTTATTTTGCAAATTAACCTTAATATTCGGCTGTTGTAAAAGTAATTCAGCAGCAGTTAAAGAACCAAAATGAGCTCTGTTTACATATTCCATAATTAATTAAAATAAAACGCGTTATTTCTTTTTACCAAAAAAAAACAAAAATAAATAATAAAATAGTTATAATATAAGAAAGACATAATACGCGTAATGAAGTGCAGTATTTCCGATAGCATCACTATGATTTATATCATAAGTTCCCGGTTGAGAAAAAATATCTTCTAAAATATCTTCAGAATCTTGTTTGGCAGCAACCAAAAGAAGTTCGTCTAATAAATAATAACAAGCACATTAATATATCACTATCCTTGTCAAGATTGATTGGTAACTTGTCAAAATAATTTGAGTCTTGTTGTAGCAACAGTAACTTACGTTTATAAAAAAAAAAAAAAGAAAAAAAAATTATATTATATTAATATGTAAGAAAAGAAAAACTCACTATTTGTTGCACCTTCTGAGTCTGCCATAAAATATATAAAAAAAAGAAATCAAAGAGAAAGATGTGTTTGCCTGAAACTTCTTGTATGGTATGCAAGAAAAAATTGATTGGTCCGATCAATGTATTTGTGATAAAAAATGATCGACATGGATGCGCAGAAGAATGTATTAATCATGTGGCGTAGTATATTAAACCCTTCTGCTTTAATTAAACTTTCGGCAATTACATAATCGAGTTCGTCCTGAGTTAGACCACCTGTCTACTTCGTTCGTGTTCGGAAAATATAATAACTTATTACTTATCTTACCATGGAATATACTGAGAAAGCACATCTGAAAAAAGGGTTGAAAAATCATGTGGTCGTTCCGTTTCGGAATGCTGATCACTTTACCATGCGCTATTTTATTCCAATATAAAACAAGCCCGATGTGGACGCAAACAAAATATATGTTTGAATACAAAAGAATATAGTCAGTAGAATTCGGCCCAATCACGGATTTTATCATACAATATACTGTAAAATATATAATAAATCAGCGAATGGTTTAGCACATATGAAGCAAAAATCATGATCATAGCACTTTGTAAGACGAAAATCAAATTGAATGTTAAAAAAAATAACTATCCCGGACATTATCTTCATCTAAATAATAATCAGCCGCTTTCTTTAGTAACACTTGATATTTTTTATTTAAATGACTACAAAGAATAAAGATCAATAGAAGAAAGAGTACACCAATATTTAACAGATATAATAGGAAAAAAATTACCCGCAATGATAACATCTTTGCCGCTACTTTAGCCAGTTTGGACAAAGCTGTTACTTCTTTCGGTATATCGAGTTCCATGATTGAAAAAACTATTGGCCGCATATTTGTTGACCAATTATCCAGATATATCTCAGTACTTGCTCCTATGATATAACAGATCAAAGTTTTAGCAAAATAGTTACAAATACATAAAAATTTTAACTCCCCATTAAACTGAACACAGAGAACAGGCATCGATGATATCTTTTCTAAAAGTTTTTCTGGTAGAGCGGACACCATTTATAGTTTAAACATGAGAATGATGGCCTGATGTAATTTTGACAAATCCATCCTCCGTTTTTGAGAGTATGGACGTGGTTCACGTTTCTATGTAAATGAATTCAAACTGTCGACTGAAGGAAAAAATTCCATCATATTTTTTTCATTTCGTGTTCTTCGATCAAGACATTTTTGGACACAACTTTGCACTTCACCTCTTATGTCAATGAAGAAAATAATCAGTTAGGAACATTAATATAAACCACATTTCTCAATGACCTAAAGCCGGAGAATCCATTCATCAACCGATTCGAGACAATCGTCAAAAATTAGAGCCACAATGTGACTATTGAAACGCCTCTCCTGTATTAAGGTTCAACGAGCCATTATCTTGGAAAAGTAGAAAACTATGCACACAATCAATATTAAGAAACTACATTTCAATCTCTTGATAGAATGCGTTCTAAATATTTACAATTTTTGAAAGAGGTACTTTTTGGTCTCGTTTTGATAATAATCTAGTGAAGGTTCCGCTATTGTTGCTATTGTTATTACTATTAACACATATATTTCCATTCCCGCTAATTGACTGGTGAATGCAAATCTGACCATGTGATCGCTTATCATTCCACTCTCTTGCTTTTTTGCGTATGGAAGGAATTAGTAATAGTATTCTTTGACTAACATCCCAATTCATCATTGATTTCCAACCGAACATCATAGCGACCAAGCAGGCCTCCTCTGCCCAGTGGGTCCAGTGCAGGCTCAGCGAACAGCCTTGAATGTCAGACGACCGAGCGGGCCTCCCGACACGCTATTCCCAGTTTTGTGGCAAAGCGAACAGCCTTGAATGTCGGGCGACCACAGACACGTCACTTCTCTCCAAACTATCTTCCAATAAAAAAGAATTTTTACTTGCCTTATCATACCTATCAAGAAGCATCCGTGCGCATTCTTGTCTACTACCTAGAAGTTTGAACCGGATTAAATCCGGTTTTATTTTAACTTATAAATATATCCGGTTCCTTCGAATCCTTCGGTTTTATTCGGTTTTCCTTCGGTTATCCAGATATGATAAATCCGGTTTCCTTCGTTTCATCCGGATTTATTATATCCAGTTTCTTTCGATATTCGGATTTAAATCCGAATATCGAACACCGGATCTAACCTCTAACTACTAACATGATCAAAGTCAGCGATTGATTTTACATAACAGTCCGTCTTTTAGTAAAACAACTCTAAATCGCACTCGAGAATGCTCCAACTTTGATGATTTCGGTTGAAATATTCGTGAAATTTATTTTTCATTGGACATATTGAATATAAAAATATTTTGTTGATACGTTCCAAAGTTGAATCAAAAGTACTTTTGAAGAATGAGTTCATCCTGATCCTGATTCCTGATGAGCTGGAGATGTCTAGGCCACTAATGATTAATTTCCGAGCAAGCAATCCCGCAAATCACTCGCAAATCCCGCACCAAACGCGACTCCAAACGCGTGTTAGCTATGATATAACGAATTTCATCAATCACGTGACATTTGGCCAATCAAATATAGAGTGCATGCAACCATACATCTATATTACTTGTTACACAAATCATGAAGAAAAAGATTATTTTTTGCAAGAGAACTTTCCTGATATTAAGTAATTTCGAATCTACAGTATAAATTCGGGAGATTAGTCCCACCTTTCTCATTTACATTCGAAGATAGAGAACATGTTTTACTTCTTGAGACCTACGGTCAGTTGTTTAATGCGTTATAATAAATGTGTTTCGATTTTTTTATTGCCAGTATGCCAGTACGATGGTATCCGATCAAAAATCTTGACAGTCACTTGCACGACTAACACAAGATCGATAACAAAGTCTCGACAATCCAGTATAATGATTTGTCGGGATTTTGACTTACTAGAATTTTGACTCGTGGATTGTCGAGATTTTGTTGTCGGTCTTGTTTTGTGTCAGTCATTCAAATGATTTTCGAGATTTCGTACCAACACCAAGTACGATAGCAGTACGAATTCGGCACGTGAAGATGCTTATATAATTTGATGTGAAAAATATACACCAAAGAATAGAACGAAACCAAAAAAAAATTTCCTTAAATTTTTTAAAATAATTAACAGGGTTACAATGAGAAGTACAAGCAATTGGAAAAGAAAAGTTTCATTAAAAAAAAAATAATATTACAATAATTTATAATTTAAAATAACATAATATAATGCTTTTAAACCAGATAACGGAAATATATGATCAAAAACTTAATTTTTAGCCCATAATTGCAAGAAAAACCTTTTTTTAAGATAAATAACTCCTAAATGGTAAGAAATCCGACAGTTTTCGGAAATTTAATTAACAAAATAACGGAGTAAAAATATTATGCGAAAATTGCAATTTAAATAATTATGAAAATCCTATTGAGAGATTAATATAGACGACGCAAAGGATATTACTTACAACAATTATTTATTTAAAAAATTATATCCCATCAGATCAAACGTTCTTCGAATATGATATGTGATGAGTTTTGGGTTTATAATAATCAGAGATGATAATATAATTCATTCTACGACATTTTATTTCCAAAACAGGTTTCAAACTACATTATGTAAAATAAAAAAATCCAATCTAAATCGGAATGGACATATCGCTAATTTTGTAGAGATCGCCCTTCAAAAAAAAGTCGATCCCGTTTTTTATATTCCATCTTTTTTCCGTAAAAGGCTCATATTTCCGGAATTAATAACCTTATATCACGGAATTTATCGAAGTTGAAAAAAAGAAAACGAATGTAATAAAAAATGTTTATGAAGAGGATTTTCCTATTTTAATAATTAATCGATTTTACAATAAATCGTTTTTTTATTAATTTAAAAAATGTCGGATTTGCACGCATTTTATACATAAATGGATTTTCCTAAAATTAGCAAAATATCAAAATATAATAGATCATCTTGAGGTATTCTCGTTTTTTTTCTTTATAAATAGCAATGACCTCAGCTTACTCATCTCTAAGAAAAAGAGAAAAACAGATAAATAAACAAAAAAGCTTACTCATCTTTAATACAAATCGATAATTACATTCACAAAGAAATCATGAATCGAAATTTTATTTTTGCATTCGTTTTATTGGCTATTCTTTCAACGGTCTATGCACTTCCATTTGAACTTGATGGTTTAAATGGTATAAATCCACCATTATGTCCTGTAAATGCAGAACATTTAACTTTAACAGTTTCTCCTAGTCCTATCGTTTCTGGATCACCCTTTACTTTGAATGTTTCCGGAAAACTAAATTCAGAAGTCCCTCAAAATGTCCTATTTAATGCCGCATTTCTTAAAACTGATACTTTTGAAATATTAGGTACCTTCAGTGATGATATTTGTAGTAGTCCAGGAATTACATGTCCAATTCCGGCTGGAACCGATTTTAGTACAACAATTGAAAAAGTAGCACCAGCAGGTTTACCTGCGTCATTTGTGGTTGGGGCTGTTATTGTTGCTCAAGGTGGTACTACTATAGCCTGTACATTTATTGAAGGTTCAGCGGCACAGTAGTGTATAAAATTTTTTATAAGCCTTTTTTTTTATATCGAACTAGTTTAATGCTTATAAAAATATTTAGATTATAAAATTGAAACGCAATCTTAGTATAAAAAATATATATATAGATTCAAAGTTTACATTTTTACGTAGTAGATAATCTTATACATTATTTTAATTATTTTTAATAATCTTATCCATTAGTTTAATAATCTTATACATTGTTTTTTATAGAAGATCAGACTATACAAGTTTTCTTAATTTTAGTTATTTGAATTTACAATTAATAACCTACATTATAAATTATATAATAAATTTCTTTTCAATCTAATGAATCTTGTCTATTACGTTTCCTCCGTAAAGAATATATAACAGATAATGTAAAAAATAAGTCAGTATTACATCGAACTTTCACGTGTTAATTTCCGCGCCTCTAAAAACTTCGGATAAACGTGTGGTGATTTTCGTGTCACTCATTGCGCTATTTGATTCCAAAAATTCCAACACCATGTCCTGCAAATGCAAATACGTTCAATTTAACAGTTTCTCCTAATCCTATCGTTCATGGATCATCCTTTACTTTTAATGTTTCCGGAAAACTAAATTCAGAAATCCCTACAGGTACCCTATTTAATGCCGCATTTTTTAAAGAGCATGGTCTCTTTTTCGAACCTTCGCTGAAGATTTTTGTGCTAGTCCAGGAATTAGTTGTCCAATTTCGGCTGGAACCGAATTTAGTACAGGAATTCATAAAACAGCACCAGATCTGAGTCATTTGTGATTGGGACTGTTCTTATTAGTCAAAGGGATATGGTGTTTTAGCCTGTGCATTTATTAAAGGTTCAGCGACAAAGTAGTGTATAAAATTTTTTACAAGCTTTTTCTTATAAATAATCTTATACATTATTTTTTAGAGAAAATAAAAATTTATTTTGTTATTGATAAAATTGACTTTAATGTTTTATTTATTTTAAAATTATTACAAGTTTGCAATATTTCGATATGTATTTCATATGTTATTTTTTCTTTTTTGCAGACTAATGTCAATTTTAACCAGTGTAAAGCTTTATATAAAGTCAAAATTCTATTTCTAAACAACAGATAATAATGAAAATTGAATTTTACATATTTTATTAATTCGTGATCCTTAACTATTACAAATCGGGGCAATTTTGTTATTTTTTCAAGTATGTATTTCTTAAATATATTTTCAAATATAAGGTTAAATATATATAAATGCATTGGTTGGCTATATTTACTTTTAAAGTTTGACCCCTTTTCTGAAGAAATAAAAAATGTTTTATATGTGGTAAAATTTTTTTACTATAATCCTAGATTCCCGTATAACTATACAATATAACTTCTAATTCAAAAAAGTAAAATTTACTCTATACTAAAGTAGAAATTGGTGTTAAACCAACTTTTGATAAAGAAAATTCATGTAAAGATCTGTTTTATGATTTTGTATTTTCCTCATATTTTATTAATTTAAAAATTCTCTACTTTTTAAATGGATTGCAAATTAAAAGTATTAATTTATGATCTATATGTATAAGTTAACTGCAAAAAATTCATATATGATTTCAGTACAAATTTTATATTGATCATTAGTAATTTTTTCTGATACTCAATTTTCATTTCTTAAATAATATTCTTTTATACAAACCTATTTATCCTAGGATAAATCTAATTGTAACAGCCTGTTACGCGTCTTATTTGTAACAACCCCCAATTTTATCCAATTAAAATTTAAGATCAGGCTTAATGTAAACAAAATCAAAATATCAGTCGTGTAACTAAGACAAAAGAATTTTTTAAAAAATTTCAAGAAACTGCTTATAACTTAAAATTTTGTCTATGAAACTGTCTTAAATACATTAAGTAAAAGTTTTCCAAATTAAATTTTGCANTAACTTAAAATTTTGTCTATGAAACTGTCTTAAATACATTAAGTAAAAGTTTTCCAAATTAAATTTTGCATATAAAAATTTTATTTGTAAAACACATATTAAATTTATTATTAAAAAAAAATAAAAAAAGGATGTTACAAATAAGATATGTAACAGGCTGTTACAAATACATTTTTTCTTTATCCTAAAGTTCCAAATAGTTTATTTTTTACAATAATTTTTTTATATAATTTTTTATTTCTATTTGACATTTCCATTTTCTGCAATTGACTTGTAGATCACAAATTAATATTAATTATTAATAAAATCATTAAAGTGAAAGTACAATTTTATCCTTTAAACTGTAAGGACTAAAATTAATTTTAAGAATTTTTGAATTTTTAAAATATCTTAAGATCTAGTGATCAGACAAAATTATATTAATTAAATTCCTTTTATTAAAGCGCATCTAATAGTAATAAAATTATAATTCTAAAATTAATAAATAAAATGTTATATTAATTTATAAATTTTTAGATTTTATAAGTTATTCTATCACATAATATTTGTAGAAGAACAATTTTATTTTATCAGATTCTTCTTATTAATACATATTAAATGGTGGTAATTTTATATTTCTAGGGTTAATGGATAAAAAGATATTTCAATTTAAAAAATTTAGCTATTTACTTTTAAAAAATCATTAATCAAATTGAACTTTTTTTTCAATTTTTACTTAAAAAATACTATAGAATTTATTACAAAAATATTGGTTTATATAATAAAATATTTTAGATATTTAAAAGTGTCTTTAATTAAAAAATAAAATTGCAGGCAAATTTGGCTGCAAAACAGTTTAAAGGATAATATATTTTTCATAGAATTAAATAAAATTTCTACATTTTATAATATTATACTTCAAAATATAAATTAATTCCCATATTTTCTACTACATTTTCATATTCATTTCCATGTTCATATCCAAATATATTAATAAAACATTTTTACTATGTTTCCATATTTTACATCACAACTATTAAATATTTTCTTAATAATGGCAAGATAATACAAAATAAATAATTTATATATTTTAATTTGTAATTTATTAAGGAAATAATAATTTTACGCAGGTGCATTGCAATGCACCCTCCTTTTTTGGAAATTATTAAATAGTAAATTTGCTAATCATAACGTGATCATAAATGATCGACAAATTTACTATTTAAAAATTTTCAAAAAAGGGGATGCGTTCAAACGCAGATGCATTCAAATTTTAAACCCATTTACTATTAATCAATTTCTGAAAATAAAATATAATTTAAAGTAAAATAAAATTTTTATGTTAATAATAAAATTTAATAATTTATTTTTAATTAATTCATATTTTATTTGTAAAATAAAAACTCTTCTATTATTATTACTAAGGTTGCTTGCCAAAACTAGGAGGTTTCGGTAAGATAGTATATGTGAAACTGCTAAAACTAGTTTCGCAAAATCGCCTTAAAATGCTGAAATGCCAAAACTGCTAAAATCTGCAAAACTGTTTTGACGTTTTAGCATAGTATATCATATGATATACATATAGTTTTAGCATTCACTATAATCTGCGATTTGCAGATTTTATTCTGATCAGTTTTGGTACATCATATGACTTACCAATCATACTAATTTCTGATCTGATAATCTTTTTTTTTATTAAAAAAAAAAGGTTAAAAAAAAACATTTTTATTGTTTATAGTTGGAAAAAATAAACCCACCCTAAACATGAAAGGTTGGGTTTTTAATTTATTTTCGTTAAAATGCCACCAAAAAACTATTTTGTCATGGAGCTGGCTCATTAAAACAATCCAATAAGCCATTTAAATCAAAACATGCAACCAAAGGAACCATTAGAGATAAAACAAAAGGTTAACAAATTTTTTTTTTGCTTTTCGATAGTAAAACATTCGAAATGACATTAGTATTATATCAAATTTTTTGTCTCATTATTTATTTTTTTTGTAGAAATGTCACTAACATTCCTTTTCTCTTTTTTTCTTTAGAGACACCTTCTAGACCTGGAATTTGGCGAAGTGGTAGGTTGGAAAAGGGGAGGTATGGTTTTATTTTAATTATAAGAACATACCTAACATTCCTTTTCTCTTTTTTTCTTTAGGGATACCTTCCGGACTTTAAATTTGGTGTAATGGTAGGTTGGAAAGGGGAAGTGTTGTTTTATTTTAATTTAGGAACGTACCTAACGTTCTTTTCTCTTTTTTTACTTTAGAGCACCTTCTGGACCTGAAATTCGATGAAATGGTAGGTTGAAAAGGGGGAAGTGTTGTTTAACTTGTTTAATTTTAATTGTAGGAACGTACCTAACATTCCTTTTCTCTTTTTTTACTTTAGGGTGCCTTTCAGACCTAGAATTTGGCAAAACAGTAGGTTGAAAAGGGAAATGTTGGTTTTTTTTCATTATAGGAACGTATCTAACAGTCCTTTTTCTTTACTTTAGAGTTATTCTTTTGGGATATAAATTCTGTTGAAATGAAATAAAAACAGCCTCCTGAACGAACCAAAACTTAGAATGTAAGAAATGGGAAAGGGGAGTTTTTTTAAATATTAAAGAAACATACTGACGTTTCTTTATTTTTATTAGGTTACCAGACTCCTTGGACGAACCTGGACTTTGGAATGTTAGTTGGAAAAAGGAGAGGTGATTTTTTTTAATATTAAAGAAACGTTACTAACGTTTCTTTCTCTATTTTTTTAGATTATCGGACATTTGGGTGAACAAAACTCGGGTGGAGACTGGGGAGTTTACTTCAAAGAAATGTAATCTCTTTATTATTGTAATAATTGTAATAAAATAAAAAAATATTAAGTAAAACAATAAAAATTACAATAATTTTTTTTTAATTACATATAAATTTATTAGACAATTTGAAATTAAAAAAAAAAAATGCTAAAAAATATTAGAATAGCGAAAATATGACAAAATTCATATAAAATATTAATGCTTGTTATACCGAAACTATGGATAAACTTAATTATAGAGGTTTCACAAATTTTGGCAGTTTCGCACATTTTGGCAGTTTTGCAGTTTTGCAGTTTTGCAGTTTTGCCACTATGTAAGGGGTTTCACCCTTTGGCATTAGGCCAAATAGGTTTCGGCAGGCAACCTTAATTATTACATCATTAGGAAGCTTACAGATATTATGTAATTATTAAAGGGAGGAAGGGGGTAACCAAAATCTTACATTACACTTAATAAAATATATAATTGATAAATACTATAATTTGATTGGTTATTAAATCTGACAAGGGGGAAAGTAAGTTTATATTAAACTGAATATTATGTAATATATGTAACTCCCTTATTATATCATTATTATCATGTAATTTAAAAGTCTCCTTCTAAACTTAACCATAAACTTTCTATATGTCTAAAATATTAAGATATCTATATCTTTTTACTAACTAATTTCCTATCTAATTTTATATATTACAATATTAATGCATTTAATATCAAAATTAAAGTTTAAAGAGAATGATATAAAAAAAGATGTTAAAAATTAAGTAATAAAAATGGATTTAAAAAAAAATAAAAAGCTAGATATGTAAAAATAGAAAATAAGTAATTTAATAATAAAAAGATAAAAGTAAATAAAATATTTTATCAAGAGAAAAGTAATATTATTAAATTTTAATGAATTATTTGAAAAAATTTATTTAAAAAAATAGATAAGACTAAAAAACTAAAAATGATTATTATTGAAATAATTAGAAAAACTATAATAGTAAAAAATTCAATTAAACAATTAGAAAAAAAAAGTAAGTTAAAAGTGATATTTAATAAATTTAAAAGAAAAAGAAATAATGATAAAAGTTTTAAAGAATTATTAAAAGAATATAAATAGTTATTTAAAAAGTTAATAATAAAAAAAATTAATAAATGAATAATAGAATTTAATGACAAAAATGTAATTATATTGGATAAATCACTATATAGTAAATATTTTTATAAAATTTTTTATAAAAAATTAATTAATCCATATGGAAACTATAAAATAAAAAAAAAATATTCAAATATAAAAACATTATAGATAATGTAATAGTTATTTTTTTTAGAAAATAGAAGATGTTGAGATAATTATATTGATAGAGAAATAAAAAAAAATAATGAAAAATAAAGATACATTACAGTTTTTTTTTTAAAAAAAAAAAAAAAATAATGAAAAATATAAAGCTTTATATGAAACTTTAAACAGAAAAAATATATTATATATGAATATAATTAATATATTTAAAGAGTATCATATAGTCTATAATAATATAAAAAGATATAAAAAAGTATAGATTAAGAAATAATAATAAAAGTTAAAAAAAATATATTAAAAAATTAAAGAATTATTAAATTAAAAATAAATAAAAATGAATATAAATATGATATAAAGGAATTGCTAACCATCACCTGAATGATTGTTATTTAGATGATTATTGCCTGGAGTTTTTTTTCAAATATGTTATATGATATATAATATATAAAGTAAATTTTCTGATAGCTAATTTTTTTAATTTAATTAATTTTGATTAATTAAACTTTAATTTTATTGTGAAGATATTTTTAAAAAATTTTTTTGCAAATATATTTATTTAATAAAATTTTACATATCTGCCGATTTGCGGAATTAACAAAATTCGTCTAAATTAAGGAATTTGCCAATAATTTAATAAAAATTAGGTAAATTAAGTTTTGCAAAAATGATCACACTTGTGCTACATGATCATATGACAGATATTAAGAAATTACTTCAACAAAAAGTAGTGTTAAAAAAATTTTTTTCTTTTGTAAACTCCCTATTAAACTCTCCATCAACTCTCCATCAACTTTTCAAACAGTTTTTACATCAAGTAAGTTGAGAATTTTTGCAAGTATATTTATAATTATTTTATATTAGATACAACTTGGAGCTGTTTTTTTATTTTTTTTTTTATAGTTTATAGAAAAAATTTATTTAGAAAGCAAAATTATTCAAAAAAAATCTTTTCAATAAATAAATAACTTTAAATATTAATAACGATGTTTTAGCAGATTTAGATTATGTATTGATTAGTTGTTTAATTAAAATCTATTTGATATTTATTATTAATTATTTTTCAGTTAATTTTTTTTCATTAAATCATTAAATATTCTGAATTTTGTAAAGTTTTTCTTTTGTTTTTTTTAATAAACTAACTTTATAATATTTTTTTCCTTTTTTTTCTAGAAACTCCTTCTACTGGCTTCGGGTTAAAGAGGTAAATATTTTGGGAGAGGTCTTAAAAGTTTTTTTATATATTTTTTGACATTTTTTCTTACGTAAAAATGGGGTTTGATCGATTTTAATCGGTACTGCGCCACATAACTGATGATTGGCAAATTCCGCAAATCGGTAGATATGATTTGCAAATATTAAATTTAAATCACATATTTATGATTTTAAAGAAAAAAATTACTGTATTTATTTTTAATAAAGTAATACAAATAAAAAAATAATAACAATAAATAAAAAAAATAAGTAAATTACAATGATTAAAAAGAAAGATGCTAATAAAAAAAATAAGATAACAATGGAATAATGAAAAGTAATAGAAGATGAAAAAAAGTAAAAAAGAGTAATAAGAAGTAATAGAAAATAAAAAGGAGAAATAGAATATAATGAAAAATAAAATAGTAATAAAAGATGAAAAGAAGTGATAAAAGATAAAGAGAAGTAATGGGAGGTAAAAAAAGTGATAAGAAATAATAAGAAATGATGAGAAGTAAAAGGAGTAATAGGAAATAAAAAGAAGTGATAAAAGATTCTACTAATTCTATTTTGAATTACAATAACTTTTCAAATATTCTTTATTAGTTTATAGATAAATCAATTGTATTAAATAATATTACACTACAAATTATATAATAATAATATGTGAAACTAAAAATATAAATAATATAAATCTAGTACTAATATTTTTCTTTAATATTTCCAGAGTTTCAGAATTTAAGCAAAAGATATTTAATAGGATAGATATGAAATTCAAATCAAATACTTTTTGTACAATATGCAATAAAAGTTATATGCAATTTGTATAAAAACAAATTCAATTTACGCATCTAATACTATATTTGCAAAATCTTAAATTTTCATATATAAAATTTTAAAATTATAAATTATGCTATATGCAAAATAGAATTATGTATAATTTGCAAAAATTAAAAAGTAGAGTGCATTCTATAAATTCTGCAAATAGATTTCATACACTAGGTAGATATGAAAATTGAATGATAATGTTTTCTTTTTGCCAAAAAATAACTCAAAAATCAATATAATGTAGATCACTATAAAATAGTAAAAGTTTCTATAATTTATATTTTAGTTAATTATTAGGTAGGAAAAAATTTTTAATCTGTCATTAAAGATTAAGAAATAGGGATAATATATCTATTTGTTATATTAAATCAATAGATTTACTACATTCCAAATTTTTTATTTTATTTTACAATATTTGTTTAATTTCTTTAATAAAATGGACATTGAGTTAATGTTTAAACCTGAATTCTTAATGAATAAATGAGTTGACTTATTAAGAATAATACAAACTTAGATTGGTACTTATTAAGGAAATTTAATTCAATTTTTTACTGGATTAATTCAGATTAATTAATAAGTTAATAATAGTTAATTAATAGTTTGATAAAAAGTTTTAACAGTTAGATAGCAAATGTTTAATAGGTTAATAATAGTTTTAATCAGATCAAATATATATATTGTATAAAAATGTGAAAAGTTTCTTCAACTCATTTAATTAACTATTAAACTTATAACTTAATAATCTGTTATAAAACTGATATTTGATATCATTTATTGGGTTAAACCAGTTATATCTGATAGTTAATTTTAAACTTGAGTAAAATCTATTAGTTAAAATTTAAAATCATAAATTTAATATTAATAAATATCTATTATAACCTATTAATAATAGGTTATAGATTTAAACATTATATTAAATTATTTGCTAAGTAATAATTTGTATTTTAGACTTATTATGTATGGTACAAATAAGAAATATCATAATTTATTAATCTTAATAATAGTCTTAAACTAATCAATAAATTTGATATGATTATATAAATACTTGTAGTTAATCAATCATTCATTTCAGTCAATTTAAATAGTATTTTTATTTATAGTTAGGATGATGATCTAGATAACTTATATGCAAAGATAATAAATTTTTTTCAGATGTCAATATTGGTCTTCAATATTTGACTGCCTTTTGTTAAACCATTTATTAACAGAAGCAAATTTCAATTTTTTTATCTGTATATGGTGGTCGTCACCTATAAACAACAATATTAATAATAGTCCAAAATTTAAAATTTTATTTATTTATATTGTGTAACTTATTTTTAAAGTACTTTGCTAAAATATAATAATTGCTGCGTGAGCGGCAAAATTTTTTTTTGCTATATTACATGGAATTCTTGTGGATTTCCATGGAATTTTTGTAAAATCCATAAAAATTACATAAAAACTAGTCCGAAATTTTATGTTTTTATTATGTCTACTTATTAAAATTATCTAACTTTAACCCATAATATTAATTAAAATTCTTATTAAATTCTATAAAATAACCCGATAGAAATGTTCAGTACATGTTGTTCTATCATTTTATCGGTTTAGTTTTTTCTTTTTACTATTCAATTTACAATTTATAAAAATTTGAAGTCACATAATATTAGTGTGGTTTATAGGTGACGGCCACCATATCAGTTGTGAGTACTGAGTATTTATATGTTATATTTAAAAATTTAAAATTAACTGAAAATGTTTTTTCATTATTTGTTATATATATCAAATGACAAATAATTATTACCATGCAAAATAATAATATATTGATATCTGCAAGTTAGATTTACTTATTAATAATAAGTGCAAATATTTTGAGACCAAAATTAGTGAAAATTATTTTCTTCACACTTTTAACATTTGAGAATATCCTTAAGTAAGATGAAAATTTACTTTTTGACTTTTTTGTTTCGGTTTTTATTGATTCCAAATGCCATCAGTAATGTTTTACATTCTGTAAGAAAAGCAATAAGAATTATCAATTTCTTTGTTATATATGATCAATAACCTTCTTTGATTTACAAATTCTTTTATGATAACATTCAAAATACTTTTTTACAATTATTGATTTATTAGTTTTATCTTTTTTTATAAAAAAATATAATCTATTTGATATACTTAAAAAATGGAAAATACATATTTTATTAATACTGCTTACCATATTTGGCAGTAATTAAGCACTCCTTTTTTGCACTTAATGCTGGCCAAGATGCTCATAATTCTGGCTAAAATCACCATAATTCTGGCTGGAAAGCTTATTTTTAGGAAATGCTTACTAACAGCAAAATATAGTATATAAAGTTATGAATTTAAAAGATTATTGTTATAATAATAATATTTGTAGAGGTATTGATCTATGTCTAGTTATTTTTAAAGTCTCTTTTTTTTTTATTTAAATTATCAATATTAAAATAAATGCCAGAATTTTTGATTATAAGGTGTTTATACCTATCATCATATTCAATAATTGTATTATATTTTTGATATATATGACATGATAGTAAAGCTCCTCATGAGCTGGCTTGCAAGCTGGCTTATGAGGAGTCTTACATGATAGTATTCTGGATATATTGATTATTTTCTGAAACTACAATATTAATTAATATTAACATTAAATTATTCAATTATGAAAAATAAAACCATTAAGGAGGAGAAAAAACTTAAAACTAATTTTTGTTATACCAATATACAGTTTTATTTACTTTAACCTGTATAACCTGCAAATGAGCTGACTGTTTATCTAATATTGTATATAATATTATTCCTATATAGGCCATTATTCACAGTTTATAATATTCTTATTCCATACTAATAATATTTTTCTTATTATTAACTTGGACATAGAGAATTTTTTTGTTTTATTATTATTAAATTATTTTCCTGTATTTTCAAGCTAATGTTTTTTGTTTATATTTATTTATTCTTCTTATTTTGCAATCTATCTTTATTATTTGTTATTTAGTCATTATTGTTAATTTATCATCTGTATTTGACAAATTAAAATGAGATTGTGTTGATTTGAGTTCAAAAGAAAAAGGATTCTGTTATGCTTTTTTATTGATGATAAAAGAGTAAAAATAATAAGGATTGGACCTGTTTAACCACAGTTGACCCATAGGGGCTGAATTATGGCAGGAATAATAATCCTGGACCACAGTCATCCCTGGAATAGCAAATCTAATTGGATGAGATTGGTTTGTGTAACATTTGTCTTTAAAAAACAAATCGCGTTTTTTTACCCTTTTTTAAAGGTATTTATTTAATGTTATCATTTTAAAGTAACATGTTATTTAAATTTTATATTTTGGTATGCATGCATTTTATTAAACTTTATTAATGAATAAGTGAAGTTGCATGAATAACTTTATAAAAAAGGTCTTTACATTATTTTTTACTGTAATTTTATTATTATTAAAACAAAAAGTATAAAGGTAGAGTGAGTCATGTGAAGTATTACAAAAATGTAATTTGCGAACCTATTATTATGCATTATTGTTCAGTCGATTAGGAATATGTGGGATTTTAATGACCGATATTTTTATGAGACATCCAATATTGATCAGTATTAGTAGCATTAATTCCGCAGTATTCCTAATGGCCAAACTATAACTCAGTTATTGGATGGGGATATCGGTCTTTGACCGATATCTCTATTCCCCATCCAATAACTATTTAATATATAACAAAAAACTACTAAACTATTGTATGTGCCGAATACTACTATAGTTGAATTGTTAATGCTTAATAATAATACAAAACAACAGGCCTCAAAAAAAAATATTCCAATTCGAAAGTCTCTAGTCGATCGTCACCTTCTGTTTTACCTGCAGGGACAACATCTACAGAATCGAATTTACAATCAGCTGTTATAAAAACTATTGTTCAGCCTTTAGCCTCTGATCGACCGACAACACCGCATTATAATTATAAATTTATAAATTGTTAATAATACCTTATATTGAAACGCGTTTCTTCGTTCTTTAAATTGTTCTTTAAATTATTGAGTTGAATTTTTTGCTTTTTCTTCGCGTTTTTAACGTCTATGGCGAATACTAACTTGCAAAGATGAATATTTTGAATATAAAATATAAAATAATAAAAAAAAATTAAAATTAAAATTAGATTGTAATTGCATACAACTCTTTTTTAATTTTTAATTTATTAACTCCACACACTTAAAAGGTTTACATACGTACTATTGAGTACAATGTTAGCAGCGTAACGTACTCAACACCTCTTTTAGCACCGTACTCAACACCTCTTTTAGCACCGTACTCAACACCTCTTTTAGCACAACTCTTCGTCTCACCTTTAAAAGTAATGTTATAAATGTGTAATTTATGATTAACCCCAAAACTTAAAAAAATACTTGATTTCCAGAATATCAATATATCATAAAACTCTTCAAAAAGAAAAAAAAAAATACATTTAGTATTATCATGAAACTACAATCAATAACAGTAATAATTAAAATATACAAACTGAAATGAAATATGAAATAACATGGGTCTAAGATCTAAGATTCTTATAGGATACAACTTGATAAACCACAAAAAGAATAGAGGAAGAGTGAGAGATAAAATAAATTGTGCGGAGTTATGTAATAAAAGTGATTAGCCAATCAAAAGTTGACTGGTCCAAAATAAGCTTTCTCAGTTTTATGAAATTTCTCGTCTTAAAAAAGCGTAGAATGAGCAAGGACCATCGTCTAGTAAGTGAATATATTGTATGCAAGATTCAAAAATATCGACCCTACCCTCAAAGGAATGTGATATAATATCTCTTATTGAAGATGTGATATTCGTATTACTAGAGTAACTCGGTTCCTTGAAGGGTCACCTGAGTGAAATTAATTAAACTTTCAAGAATTAATTGATATAATAGTGAAAAACGGGTCTTTTGTACATAAAAACATTATTATGAATGAATAACACGTAATAATCAAATAATTACAAATATGTTTAATATATTCCAATTTAACTATTTTAAAAATATTATATATTATTAAATATTTTATTTTCATATAGTAAAACAATATCATATTAAGTAAAGTGTCGAGTGAGTCACATGATCTTTTTTTCTGTTTTTCGAACAATTAAAAAAATTCGTTACGTAGTATCCTTACTTTGTATTACTGATAATCATTATTATGTCACAACTTTAAAAGTTAAGCAAAGAATGAATACTTTTAAAGTATGTCATTCCCATTATAATCCAAATGTGGGGGCTTAAAAAAAAAAAAATGTAACGTAATATATTTTGTGTATGAGAAAAATGAAAAATATATTTTTTTTCATCTAAAAACTAAAAAAAAATAAATATTTTTAAAATAAGAGAGAATTTGACTATATAAAGAATTATTAATAATATATATATATTTAGTGAAACTATATAACGGAGCAACGGAACCGACGGAAAGTCAATAAATAACATAAATAATGGTGATTATTTAAAATAACACGTACCCTTTTATCTCTAAACTAAAAAAAAAAAAACCTAATGGCTAATGATATCGTAAGGATCTAGCATGAACACAAGAAAATAACATTATGTATCACAATAATACACCATTTAGGAATGAAAAAAAAACAAGGATAGGAGAAAAAGATTTCATTTATCGATTGATTTAAAATTCAAATAAAAAAGATGTGGAAAATGAATGGTTCACTGTTTGTTCACGGATAAACATTATTTTTGCATATTTTTTATACAAAATTCGTTGATAAGTTTTTGATAGAAAAAATTTTTGATTCGTCGGAAATGTTATTGGTAAATTAATCCAACTTTAAGAAATATCTCGTTTAGGGAATATTAGGAAATTAGGGTTCCGAATAGCGATTCGAATTATAACGATTTGATCAAAATCTTGTGATCCTTGTGATCGATGACACCATCAGATAACCTACATTCTCTTTACCTAATCATAAACATAAACAACAGAAAAAAAAAAACTACTTACACTTAAAAATAAGGCGTGGGCTTCTTCATGGCAGATGATTAAGATAGAATGATAAAATTCTTTCCCGAATCTCTTTATTATTGTAAACAAAAACTATAAAATCATATGAAAGGAAAATATTTTCTTTCTGTTAGATAATTTTAGGTATTTGTAAATAAAAATGTGGTACTTCCCGTTCATTTACGCGAAAAAATTTTTTTTTTTTAACGCATGATAAATAAAAAATAAAAATGTAGACGCCCCATTTTAATATGAAGATTACATAATTGTTTTTTTTTTTTCATCCCCTAATTTTTTAATCCTTTCCTCGCCAAGTTTTCATCGTATGACAAAGTTTATACGAATTTGGTTTCATTGTTCCGAAAGATATCTTTATCTGTTATCCAAAAAATCGGCGCTATTATTTATTTGGTTGGGCATATTGCATATGTTGTATGAACCATTGTTTTAGGAAATTTGTACAATGAATTTATAGGGGGTCAAAAAAAACAATTTAAAGTTGTACATAATAAAAACTGTTCAGTTAAGTTCCATATATTGCAATTCTAATTATACTATACTTTTCTGGAATTTTCTTCACGTGTAAATTTCATCTTTAGTTAGCCTGAATTCTTTGGTGTAAATAGGAAAAAAAAAAATTTTTTTCTACTATCATAGTTTAGAAAGAAAACCGGGTGATCTTTTTGATCTCGGTCTGTTACGCGAGGGCGCGGACGGCGGTTTGCTGTCGATCTTTAAAATCTTTAATATATTTTGTGTCTCTTATAATAAGATAGCATGTTTAAGGAGCGAGGATTAACGCGTTGCTTCATTAAAATAAATTGATTTGTAGTAAAAATAATCTATTCTTATTCACACGCTTGACGCTTCATAAAGAGTTTAAAAAAAATCCACGCCATAAAAGGATATAGATGTTATATATTATAATTATTATGCATGCAAGTACAATCAGTATCCGTTCTCTGAAGTAATTCTTGCGCATTAAAAAAATCCTGTGCATTTTTATTTCGTCGATAATCTTTTTTTTTTTTTTTTTTTTTTTTT